AGGGCCTCCGAGGAGGTGACGGCCGAGGGCAGACCCGGGTGATGAGAAAAGCCGGAGAAAGGCGCGGGAGGCACCGAGTTTCCAGGTGAGCGAGGGGGAAAGAAAGAGACCGGGCCAGGTCTGATGGGACCCTTTTGGTGGTGGATTTTGGACTTTATTGGAGTAGGGATTTTATTCTAAATCCAACAAAGAGACACCAGAGAGTTTTAAGCAGGAGAGTGGCCTGACCTGATGGACATTTCAAAAACCCGCCTGGCCGCTGTGGGGAGAATGGCTTGGGAGTGGGAGGGGCCGAGGCGGAGGTCCGGTCACAAGATTCCCCATGAACTTGAGATTCTCTAGCTTTATTTTGTAAACTACACACAGTTTACTGCACAAAGCGCCATTACGCATTTTGATGTATTTTTACCTGTGATTACTCCGAGGAAGACAGAGACATTTCCGCCCCCCCCACCCGCCGCCCCCAAAAGCTCCCTCTTGGCCCTTCCCAGCCTCAGCCCACAGTCCATCCCAATCCTGATGTCTGTCACCAGTCTGGCCTGATCTAGTTCATAGACACGGGCCCAGACAGAATGCTCCCCTCTGTGCCTGGATCCATTCACTCGCGATGCTTTTGAGACACCTCCAGGTGGCTGCGTGGATCTGCGACGGACAGTTTGTTCTGGGTAGAGTCTCAGCGCAGGCGGAGCTGTACTCTCCATTGACCACCAGAGGGCAGTGTGGCCCCGCAGCCGCCTGAGCCACCCTGAAGGGATTCATTCCCACAGCATCTCCGTCAGGCCCTGCCCTGGTTTCAGTGGTAAATTGGCTTGTTGAGGCCACTTAGACATCCCAGTAATGAGCAGCGCCTGTGCGGGGACACACACCCTTCGCCAGACTCCCTTACAGCCAGGGTTGGGAGCGATGGAGGGCCCGCCCATCAGCTGCGTGCCCAGAGGCTGTTAGGTACTGAGCTAAGTGGGGAGAAAGGTAGCTGGCTGTGCGCGGGGCGTCCAGACTGCAGGTGTGGCCAGAGCAGAGCTGGTGCAGGGCAGCCCCGGAAGCAGATGCATCTGCCCCTGGAGTCAGCAGCCACGCTCCAGGATCCTGGGGGAGCAGCACCACCCCCACCCCCCCGGCCCGCACTGCTGACTCAGTCCTGCCCTGTGGCTTCCTTGGTCTTCCTTGGGATTCTGTAAATACTCCTAACATGTCAATCAGACCCAATCAGGGAAGCGGTCAGATCTGGCCCAGGAGTTTGGGGTAAATAATTTATGATGGGACCTGGACTTTACACAGTGGTGGAAGGAGCTGGGGAGGTCAAGGTCGGAAAATGAGCATCGGGAGTCAACAGCCAGGCAACCCGAGAAGCGGCAAGGCACATCCGGCCATCCGAGTGGGTCTGCAGAGGGGCACTGGTGAGAAGCTGATGTGGAACCATTGCCTCTGCCGCCAAGCGCCCAGAGGTGAGCCGGGCCCTGACATCCACGGGTCAAGGCCACCTGGATGCAGCGCAGAGGACGGCGAGGACTGGGTGGAGCCTGCAGGCACGTCGGCAGCTGTCTGTCGCCACGTCTGGCCACAGTGGCCTTGCTAGAGAAGAGGCTGCTCTTTCCACCTTCAAAAATCTCACACAAGTTGCTCTTTTGGTCAATTTTAACTCAGAACCACTCAAGGAAAGGGATTCTGGGCAATGCAGTTCCAGCCTCGCCAAACTGACCCAGTACAGAGTACACCCTTCTGCTCTAACTGGCTGGGTGACGGCTGCTCTCTACACCCGACCTGACTGACGGAAACTCCAGACAGTTCTGCCGTGGGTGCTGTCAAGGTCTTTGTCAACTCTTTTGTTCGGGCAATTTCCCACCTTGGGAGTCTGTACCAGAAACAGGCAGAATCTCACATCTCTAGCCTCCCTTGCAGTGAGACTCTAAGCATGTGACCTACACTCAACCAATCAGACCCAGATGGTATGCAGGTGCAGCCAATCAAATATACCCAGGTACTCAGATTTAGTCAATCAGCCAATCAAATACATCCAGGTACTTTGAAGACTCAGTCAATCACCTACACCCACGTGGAGCCTAGGCTTAGCCAATCCAGACATACCCATCCCACCTGCCACCCCAACCCAGGCCTTTCTCCCTCTGAGCGCTCAGCCCCACCCCCACCCAAAACCCTCCATTCTGGCCTCACTGGCCTGCCGTCTCTTCTGGAAAGATGCCAGGTCCCCGCCTCGGGCCCTTTGCACTTGCTCTTCCTTCTCCCTGGGATGTTCTTCCAACCAGGTGAGTCACTCTGGCTACTCCTCCCATGAGGAGCTTTGCCAGAGGACAGACAGATGCCAAGCCCCAGAGAGAGACCGATGTCATTCTTCAGGGCTGGGGTGGCACCTGGGCATCCTGGGTCTGTTTCCCATCTCCCCAGGGGCTTCTCATGTTCCTCCAGAGTTTAGAACCGCTGCCTGGGGCATCACAGCTCCGTCCCCACTTTCTCCAGGTGTTTGCTCACAGTGCAGCTTCTCGGACGGGCCCTCATAATCACGCCATCCACCTCCCCCTGCTTACCCTGCTTGGTTGCCTTCAACGCGCCTGTCCCACCCAGATGGCATTATATGCACATCTGGCAGCTTCCCAGTGAGCGTGTCCAATGGGTAAGGGCAGAGGCCACATCTATTCTGGTCAGCGCTTGGCTCAGACTGCTACCGAGTCAGTCCCCTGAATAAACCAACGACTTCAGCCCACCTTCTCCCCGACCAGCTCCGTCTCCAGAGCTGCAGTTCCGCATAGGGGCCACCAGGTGGCGGGAGTGCCTGTTTGCATTCAAGGTCACCCCTAGACCGTCCTGCCTGGCCGTCGCTAAGAGGAAGGAGCAAAGACCAGGGCAGGTGCCATGGTGCCCTCCCTCTTTTCCTCATTCCTAGATTCAGGGACACTGGGCCTCTGAAAATGCTGGACCCAGACTGAAGTCAGAGGAAGGGGGCCTCGCAGCCCGGCCTGGATCGTCCAAGTCCTTGCCCTCTAATCTGGCCCCTCATTGGCCCTCCAGTGCAGCCACTTGGCAGGCGTGCCCCGAACCCCCTCACACAGCTCATGACCGTCACGGGAGCGCAGGTCTGTGTGTCCTGTCAGTGTGACAATCTGCATACCCGTCCGTGGGGGGGCTGTGACCGGCACTGTCCTCTTCCATATTTCAGGGTCACGCCAGGCAGGTACCAACATAGAACCACAGCCCAGGCTTTAGGTCACGTGACAAAGGAGACAGGACAGAAGTGTGGGTATCAAATGCTACCATTTATGCACACAAAGGGGGAGAGAACGTCCTCTGCACTGCTGTGGAAACGCAGAGACCGCAGGGTGCGCGGTGGTGCGGGACTAAACACGGAGCCCTCTCTTCACAGTTCAGGCATATGGCTGCATCGCCTAGTGAGATAATCAGTAAACATGAAGTGCACATTTTTTTTTTAAGTAACCATTTCTCAACCACTGATAAGCCGCTCCTTCCTGGGAGTCCTTTCTTCTAGGGGACGCTGCAGCTGCGGCGGTAAGGGCAGAGGTTATGTGGGGGTCAAGGGACACAGCAGTAAACAGAGACAGTGAACTTTGCTCAGGAGTCAGAGGCTGAGACAGAAAGACAACCTGGAGAACAAGGTGCCAGACATGGAAGGGTGCACCAGGCCCAGGGACGAGAAACGAGAAAGGGCCCAGCTCCTTAGGGCTGAGAGAGGATGGTGGGGCGATTGTGCCTCCCTCTTGCCGCCCCGGAGGGGGGGGGGGGGGGCTCTTCCCCTCACCCAGACTGTGCCACCTGCTCCATGGCCTTCAGATGAAAGTGAGGAATACAGGGAGGGTGCACGCATACACCCAATAAAAGGAAACTAAACTTTTTAACTTAAAAAAAAAAAAAATTGGCTAACACCCTATCAGAAAGAGCAGTTCAAAAGGAGTCCCATTAGAATCTTTCACTAGCTCTGTCGCCTTCAACCAGTCACTGGGCCTGTTTCTACCAGGGCCAGCGGGGGGTCACGCAGAGTGGCGAACAGCCCTTTCCGGTTTGGCGCAGGACCAAGGGTAAAGGGGAAAACCTCACCCTGGCCCCAGCCCCCACCAGGGGAGCACTTGGGCCAGACACAGCCGGTACCCTCCCTGCCTTGCTCACTCCTCCAGGCCACACCGGCCTCCTTGCTGTGGATCAAGCACGTCAAGTCCACATGTGCCCCAGGCCCTCTGGGGCCACTGCCTCTGTCTGGGATGCTCCCCCACTTTATCTTCCCACAGCCAGCTCTTCAATCAGGTTTCAGGTCAAATGTCCCCTAAAACATCCCCTTCTTGTGCTACACTTTTCAGGGTGAGCACCTCGTACGTGCCTCCTCACCACGTCACATCGGAAACCAACAGTCTGTAACAACTGTAACTGAAAAACATTTACTTTTACATGGCCGTTTCACTCCTCTCACGGCACTGGCCAGCGGACGGCCTGAGGGCCAAAGGCAGCGATTCCCTGCTTTTGTACCACCTGTGAGCTGTGGATAGTGTTTCTATCTTCAAGTGGTTGAAAAAATATCAAAATAATGTGACCCATAAAACGAAAGGGATGGGGAGGGCCCGGGCAGGGCTGCCCACGGAAAGACGAGCACAGGGCCCGAATCTCCCAGGGAAAGACAACTCCCTCCCTCCCCACTGTCTTTCTGGGACTGACCCAGGACTTCCTGTATTTCACATCTCTGTTAAAAAATTTCAAGGAACTCGACTGGAAGGTGGCCTCCTGTATGCCACACCCACACCCCCACGCAGACGCCCTTGACTTCTCGCGCCCTTGACTCCTGCGCCCGGCCCTGCGCGCCTGCCACGGCGGCCCGTGGCCGACCACGTGGAAGGCTGCACATTCCAGGACCACCAAGCCATTTTTCCAAAACAGTTTAATTTAGAAAAGGTGAAGAATCTTAAAAACTTAGGGGGGTGGGGGGAGCAACCCAAAAGAACACACCGTGAGTCCACTGGCTCAGCCACAAAGAAACACCGCCATCAAAAAAGATATTTAAGTTTAATACAAATTTTATACAAAGAAAATGTGAAAAAATACTTCCATATGCTAAAAGCAATTATGCTTCACAAATAAGGCCAGCTAGGCTATTTTTTGTTTTGTCTTGTTTTGTTTTGACAACTGCAATTCACAAATGTTCTTTCCCTCCTGGTTTCTTCTAATACTCTTTTTTTTATTTCTTCTCTAAGGTGGGTAACTAGCTGGACACTGTACAGTTCGCATCCTCTTATCGACAATGAGGAGAAAGTAAACGAGACTAAAATGTACAACAAAATGTACTGGAATGGTATCGTACAATTAATTTTCCCATATACATACATCACCTTCCGCTTTGTTCGATGCGTTTAGTTTTACACGACATACAGAATGGAACTACAGCTTACGTAGTGTAACCGACAGCATGGCGGGCGTGTCCTCTCCCACTGCCTTGGTTTCATGCTTACATAAAAATGTAAAATTCCATCATATAAATACTACAGACATGCTTCACCCCAGACTCAAGGGTCCTCCGCGGGCGCCCTGCCTCTGAGTCCTCGCCCCCGAGGAGCGCGGTGTGTCTCTTTCCAAGTGAGTGTATTTAAAGGAACCGCAATGCAAAGAAAGGATCTCGCCGTTTCAGACCTTGTGACGCGAAATGTTCCGTGTTCTTCCGCCGCTGAGCTGAGTGGGGCTTGTTTCTGTTTGTTTCCCTTCTGTAAACAAGGACATTAGGTTTTTCCCTTTTAGGAGTAGAGTCATCGTTTAAATCCCATAAAATAAACCAGTTTCTCCGCGTGTCCTGGTCCAGACAGCTTGCATTTGATAGCCTAGCAACGTCGTAGCTGAGAGCGGCCAAGGGCTTGACTTCATGTGCCCACGGCAGCACAGGATCCGCGCCCAAACTCACGATCCCGCTGTGCCCCGTCCGAACGGTTTGAATGAACGCAGCTCGAGTTCCCCTGGGCAGCAGACAGCCCCGGGCCCAGTCCCCTTAGCGCTGTGTGTGACGGCCGGGCTGATGGGCCACCCCCTTCGCCAACACCAAAACATTCCTTCTGCTGTTGGGGTTTTGCTTTTTTTTTTTTCCATTGCTTTTCTTTTTTTTTTTTTATAAGTTAAAGTCAATACAAATATAAAAAGGGGAAGGTACTCTAGGTTTGGTGACATCCACAAATTGTACATTATTTACATCTAAAGCATCGGTGGCGGGTGGGTCTAACAGTCCTCAGTCGAAGCTAATGCCGGATGTGACGTAGTGTAGACGCCCCCAGGGCGGAGGCCGAGCCCGCGAGCCGGGGGGTTCCCCAGTCTGCGGGCGGAGGTTCGGCCTCACGTTTCTTGGCTGCGCCCTGTTCTCCTGGGGTCTGGTTTCTTCTTCCTCCGCGGGGCGGCGTGCTTGTGGCGCAGCCTGTCCCTAGTCCCAGAAGGCGTCCAGCCGGGACTCTTTCGGGAGCAGACTCTTGGCGCTGGTGCCGCTGTTGAGCTCGGCACGCGACGAGCCTCGCTTCTCGTCGCTGCCGCTCCAGCAGCCGGGCTTGCTGCTCCGGGGATGGTCTGGGGGGGAGGAACAGAGAGGGGCGGTCAGCACCCGGGCCCCTGCCGCCGGGCCGGGAAGCCACCACCCCCTCTCACCGCACACAACTCTGGCGGGCAGACACTGCCCCCACGGGGTCCCCGGCACTGGTGGGGCCGAAGAGGACAAAGGTGGGACAACTTATGTTCCTTAGGATCGAACACCCGCTGGTTGGAAAAACACTTTGGCGTCACGCTCACAGAGGCTCAAGATCGGTGAGAAAGTTGCTGTAACTGCGCATCTGTATGACGTCAGTGACACCAAGCACCCTTGGGTCAGTGTGCCCGACCCTGGGCATGGGAAAAAGGCACCAAAACTTGGCATTTGATCTGCTTATTCATATCAACAAAGTTTCTTTCATCAATTTATATAGGCAACTCGAAAAACAGGCTTACATCAAACCACCCAAAGAAGCAGATGATAAGGAATGTGGACCAGATCAGTCAGGTCCAGCTAGGAACACGGACCACCCGGTCCCCAGTAAGGACAGTGAGGGTCACCAAAGGGTGCAGGAGCAGAATGAGACTTTAAGGAGCTTCCAAGACTACAGGACGCCTGGACGGCTGAGTAAGCACAGCAGCAGAACTGAGACCATTTGCCTGGTTCAGACAGACTGGGGCAAACTCTTTAACATTTCCCAAGGCAGGGTGAGACTACTGAACGGAAAGAAGTCAACTGCAGGTTTAGAGACAGAATCAGAGTGAAGAAGGGGCCACGTCGTCGTCGGGGGGATGTCCAACCTCTTGGCGTCTCTGGGCCTCACGTTAAATCTGCCACACCACACAATCACAAGAAACCTCACAATGTTTTAAGTAAATTTACAATTTTCTGGATTTCATTCACAGCCATCCTAGGCCGCATGCAGCCCCTGGGCCTCGGGCTGGACACCCCGGGCCAGGGCATGACACTGCTTACGGCCTGTTGAGTTGTGAGCCGTTTCTGGAAGACAGGATTGACCAGAACAAGGACCTCCCAAGGCTGCAGTCCCTCACAGGGGGGACGCTTTCATCGCTTGCACCAATGGCCAACAGGGGGCAGTATTCTGCAGAGCTGGGGTCAAGGGCTGGCTCTTTTCCTTTTTTACTTTTCTTCCCAATTAATTTACATTCAATATTATTTGTATTAGTTTCAGACGTACAGCTTAGTGGTTAGACAATCACACATTTCCCACAGTGCTGCCCCGATACTTCCAGTACCCACCTGGCACGTGCACGGTTATGACAAAGTTACTGACTATATTCCCCCCACCTTACCAACCCTCACTCTACCTCTTCTTAGCGTTCCGCCCAATGCACAACACCCGCCCCTCTCGATCTTCCGGAAGGTGTCCGAGTGCTGATGTTGGTCGTCACCACATGTGAGAAAATCCTACAACCACGCAGTCCAGCCACAGCAAGTGTCCCCAGCTCCGGTGACGCAGAGAAGGGCGGGGAGCCGGGCTGAGCAGCGCCCCCCGGCACCTGTGGGCCCTGGCTCCGCACACAGGACAACACAGGGCGCCGGCTGGTGTGGCCGATCACTGCGTGCGGGGGACGACCAGTGTTCATCTAGGAGCCTTCAGGAAAAGAGCGAAAATGCCCCCTCAAGAAGCCAAACCACGAGCTCTGGTAGTTTCGATGGCCGCCGGAGGCCCGGCTAAGAAGACACGCAAGCCAAAGCAAGACCCATCACTGAAAAGAACACCCACAAGGGGGCCCACACGCGCACCACGGGCCTTCCGCGTGGCGGGAGGAACCCCTGGCGGCCTCCGTGAGCCAGGGCCTTGCTTACGCCCGGGTGGGGTGGGTGGGGTGCACCTGGCGGGCTGCGGCGTCGGCGGGGACACAGGCAGGCTGGAGAGACAGCCCGGGCCCCCTCGGAGTCCGCCAGAGCTCAACTCCGCACGGGCCCGGGGACTCGCTCCTCCTGGCCATGGACGGGCCACTGCTCTCAGCACCGCCTCGTTCCCGCCACCGGGCCCAACCTCTCGCGTTCACGGGGCTCTCGGGCTTTTCAGAGACGCGCAGTAAACCGTGGGCACAATCACTGGATACGGCACGGCCTCACGGCGGACACGAGGTGGACAAGGTATAACAGGCAGCTCCGTAAGCCACGGGTCCTCAAAACATTGAAAGCAAACTCCTCAGAACCACCGGCGGCCAGCAGCCTAACTCAGCCAGGGAAACAGAACCCACGGGATGATGGGGGGCAGCACCCCAGGCGGTCAGATCTCTCAGGGCGAGTCGTAACTAACCCACGGCCAAGGGCGGGCACAGAACAGGGGGGCGGCCGAGGAAGGGGCCACATCCTCAGCCGCGATGGGCGGTCGGACACCAACACATAACACCGGAAACTGAAGAGTCAAACATCACGGGCGTGAAGGGAGTCTCCAGAAAATAACCAGTAACAGTGGAGAGTTTGTTAGGAACTCACTGAAAACACGATCGAAGGGGAGAAAAACAGGAACTCCTGGAAAGAGCAAGACCGTGCAAGAACGGGAACATGATCCCAGCACGTGAACTTGGCCACACTCGGGCGCAGCCTCCACCCACAGCCTCCGGCGACCATTTCAAAACAGAGTGCGCGTTCTCAGCCTTGATGGAGGGAAGTCCTGGGGGAGACGGTGGGGCGGGGGCGGGGGCAGTGAGGGGCAGAGGGGCCACCGGGGCAGGGGCCAGGAAGTGCTGCCCCCGGGCTGACAGAGTGAGAGCTCAAAAACCAGAGCTGTATTAGACCGGGGGACCGACCACACAAGCACATACAATAGTGACGCAGGTAGCTTGGGACACAGTGAGAGGCGTCCTGTATGAGCCCAGCTCTCGTCACTTAAAGCTGAAAATCAATGAGCAACTTCTGCAGATGAAGCGCAGAACCAGCAGCGCAGGGAAGCACATGACTCACCAACACGGAGGAAGTATCAGGCGCACGGCGGCGAGGCTGGGCCCAGGCACTCATTTCCCGTCTGCTTTTATTCCCTCTAACTGCGCACATGTGATGCTTTATTCGAATCTTTCCATTGAGGGACAAGCCACAGGCCCAGGCCCACGCCCACCCCGAGGAAGCTCATGCCCCGACGAACCCTCTCTCCCTTCCAACTAGCCTCTTCCTCTTCCCGTCCCAGAAGCCTAGAACGAGCTCAGAAACCCCAGTGTTTTCTGGAGCCCACTTTCCTCCATGAGACTTCATCTGCCCGCCACCAACACCAAGAGCTAGAAGTCAGTGCCCGAGAATCCCCAGGGGAACTGTCCACCGTGTTCACCGCTCCCCCCCAGGGGGCTGGCCCCAGAAACACTCAGCGCACTCTTGTTGATCCCTCTGCAGAAAGCCAATGCTGTGCACCCTCCAGGAATCCATAGAATTGAGGGCCTTTCCCTCCCCTTTCCTGCCACCCCAATCCAGTCAACAGACTCCTGGGGACCGTGTTCTTGCCCCAATCCACCTGGCACCAAATCGCCAGCCTCTACCAGCGCTTCTTGCCTCCTCGCTCCTATGTGTTACTCGGTTCATGTTCTTATTCTAACCTGCAGTGAAGCAGAACCTCCCTCCCCAGCCCCTTGGACACCTGTGTGCCGTAGGTGACAGCCAGCCAGCTGCGGCCCAAACCCGGCCCAATGCCTGTTTGTCCGAACGCCGTTCCACCGGAGCACGCCACACACGCGTGTGTGTTCTCCACGTCCGCTGTCACCACACAACGGCGGAGTCGGGCAGCTGGGACACACAGTCCGCATGGCCCACGCACCTTAAAATATTTACCGCGTGGTCCTTCACCGTTTGCCGCCCCCTGGTCCAGGTGATACCTCCGTCACCTCCAAAATGGAACACGTCACGGCTCCCAACCACGGCCCTGTCTACAATCCTGCTTATGGCAGCAGAAGCCACTCCCCACCAGGGCGCCAGCGGCCTCCCCACTGCCCGATGCTCCCACCACTTTGCAGCGCCACGTGCTCCACAGCGCCCCCTGTCTGAAACAGTGTGTCTCCAACTGGGGCCTTTCTCATACCACCAGGCGATTCTGACACCTCTACAACCCTCCTACCTATTACTTAGTTCACGTTTTTATTTTAAACTCATCGTTAAACAAAACAGAAGCTTTTCTATCACCACCCAAAGCAGGAAAAACCATGAATACTTGCCCATGCGCAGAAGGCAACGCTATGAATAAACACAATGAAAAACAAATCAGTGTTACATTTGTCAGCAGGTACCTTGCCGCTCAGGCCTACAGTCTGCTCTCTCTCTCTGTTAAAAACGAGAAAATATCAAAGAACTGCAGAAGACAGCTCAGTGCCAAGCTGCACCTGTGCTCAGGTTCAATCAGGAGCTGAGGAGGAAGCGGGAAGGGAGTTACACTTTCAACAGGCGGCTTGGTAGCAGTCAATGCCAAGGCCCTATTCCCCTAAACTCAGTCCAGGCCACCCCCCCACCCCCCGTCTGAGCACCCCCCGCAGCCCCCTCGGGAGACCTCCAGCCACCACTCCCTCCAGGCATCCACTACGCAAAAGTGGAACAAAAATTGCTGAATTATCCAACAGAAAGAAACCGGATCTTAACGCTGGAAAACCCTGAAGTCAGCAGAATTGTCCTCAACGAAGACACCATCTCCGAACCCTTCTGGGACGGCCCAAAACAGGTTCAGAAGGGTGCAGGGGAAAGGCCCTCCGGGTTAGAAAGAAGGACAGCTCAAACTCACAGAAAAGAAAAACCAAAACTTAGTCTCGGAAAATCTGAAGACGCAGTCTACCAGGTTAGTCAGTCCCTGAGAGGAAAGGCTTTTACAGAAAGATCATCTGCCTGAAGCTCTTCATTTCCCCAAAGACTCAAGTGCCCTCGTCCACCAAACACAGGTGACGGCACATCAGGAACCAAGGTCCACTCGGTTCCGTGTGCGGCGGTCACTTCCCTAGGGACAGAGAGCTGCCCCACCTGAAAGCACGTCTTCTCCCCCAGCCCAGGTCGGCAACAGCACCCCCTATCCAGATGGAGTTTTATGTGGCTCCCCAACAAATAATAAATAAATACAGCAGGTCCTCAAATAACGCCATATCCTTCAACCTCGTTTCATTGTAACATTGATGAGATGCCACAGGAACTTCATTGTTGTTTGTATCAATTAGCCTGTGGTAGCACTGGTTTCGTTACACGTCGTCTCCCTTAAAGTGGCAGAACCTATCGACAGCATGAAGGGAGGACGTGGTGTGCTGGTCAGTGCTGGTCAGTCGAGAGGGGGGTCTGACAGCTGCCTTGCCCAGCCACTCCCTCACCCCCACTGACCCGCCCCGGGCACCCCCAAGGATCCCTAAGGATCCACGGCAGTGTGAAAACCATTAACCCTTCCAGTTCTCTCTGAGAAAACGGCTTCCCCTCTGCCCGTGTGGAATGCCAGCACCATTCACCCACCAGGGGGCAACGTACCAGAGCCTTGGTTGGAGCCTAAGAGAATGGAGGAGGGCGTCTCCCTGGAGCCAGAAAGGTCGAGGGTCTAGAAACACAAAGAGAGAGAGATGGACTCAAGGCACTGGGGCCGTTGTAGCCCCCAGGGAGCCCGGGGATCCTTGGGGGTGCTCAGTTCTGCCCCCAAGGTGCCTTCGAGCCCTCTGCCCAGCGAGCGAAGTCAGGGAGGCCAGGGCGGCTGGGGTGGCCCTCTCCCTACACCCCGTCTGCAGACGGCTGGAGCGCAGCCCTGGGGCGGACCCTTCCTCAACCCTGTGGCCTCGGCTGCCAGCACGCTCCCTCCCTGGCCTGCCAGTCCCCCAGAGTTCTGCCGTATCCAAAACAGGAGGAAGTGTATGACTCCAAAATTGTATGAATGCACCTCTCACTAGGCAATAGTACTGGTGACATCAAAGGGTTCTGACTGATGGGACCATGACCTTCCCCCCTAATCCCAATGCATCCTGAAATAAATACATGAGGACTGAAGAGGTGAGAAAGTATCACTGTGTCACCCGTGATTGTGTTTAGAGACAACACGTCCCCCACACTGGGACACTGAGAGAGGCAACTTCCACTGTCCAGCACAGAAGCCACTGGTCACCTGCGATGGCAAACGTTAGAATAAAGTTTAAAAAATCCAGGTCCCAGGTCACGCTGGCCACAGCCCAAGTGCTCACGCAGGCCCACGTGGCTAGTGGCTACCGCGCTGGGCAGGGCAGATACGGAACACGCCCGTCGTCACGGGAGGGTCCACGCGGCAGGGCTGGTCTACAGCTCGAGAGTCACCAGGGCGCAGATGTCACGTCACACGCACGTCTGCGGGGACTCCGTGTCCCTCCGCCCCTGCCCGCGTGCCCACCGCTGAAAAGGCTCGTCCCCTCCTGCAGTCTGACTGCCCCACCTGGACGGCAGACAAACCTAGGCGACTTTGAGGAGCTGGCAGGCATGGATGGGGACAGGTCCTGAGGCTCCGCCCGGCCCAAAGCATCAGTGTCCCTGGCCAGCGGCATGCGCACACTCACCGAGCCACCGCCGTCCTTGCTTTTCTCGGCGGACGTCTCCTTGTCTTTCGAGGTGCTGGCTGTTTCTGGGGGGGCTGCCTGCGTGCTGGAGGAGGTCCCCTGGGATGATGACTTGTTTAGTGTTTCCGTGTTCACCTCAGTGTCTGCTTCCTGCTGAGGGGCGGTGGCTGGGGGCGAAGGGCAGAAAAGCCACACGTGAGACGAGGAGGGCAGTGGCTTGTGGGGACCCCAGCTATGCCGGGGGCCGTGCCACCGCCCAGTACCCTCTGGCCCAACCACACGTGCCGTGACAGAGGCAGCAGCCCCTCAGCCCCAGCCACGGTGGCCGGACCCCCAGTCTTCCTTCCGGGAGCTGCACCCAGACCTTGTGTGAAAATGTGTTCATTGTCCCTGGCTGGCGTAGCTCAGTGGATTGAGCGCAGGCTGTGAACCAGGCATCACAGGTTCGATTCCCAGTCAGGGCACATGACTAGGTTGCAGGCCATGGCCCCCAGCAACCACACATTGATGTTTCTCTCTCTCTTTTTCTCCCTGCCATCCCTCTCTAAAAATAAATAAATAAAATCTTTAAAAAATATATGTTCATTGTTACAGTGTCTCATGCTTCACTAACTTCTTCTGGAGACGGAAGCATGTTCATAGAATACACGAAGGCCAAAACCAGGAGCCAGCTACTGCTCACCCGGAACGGCAGCCCTCATGAACAGGTGTCGGCCTGCGTCAGCCCCGTGGAACTGCTCCCATCCCAGCCCAGGGGAAACCAACCCACGGGGAGTGCGGCATGACGTCAGGGGCGCGGGCCTCGGGAGGTGGACAGCACTTGGACAGGCGGGAACGGAGGGCGTGTGAGAGGAGGTTCGGAAGGATGGATACCACGATGCCACACGGAAAGGAAAGCCGAGGGAGGCTCTGGCCATCTCGTAATAGTGGGAGGGGGTCATCAGACACATTCCAGAACTTAGGGGGCCTCAACGGTCCCGCTGGAAGAGATCTAAACCGGCGATTAAGAAGACATCGCCCTCAGGCAGGTTAAAGGACACAGCGACATACAGCTTACGGCTGCCTTTTTAAAAACAACAGAACGGAAGGGCAGGAGGGAGCGGGAGTCGGCAGCCCAGTGCCCCCAGTTTTTGTGAATGAACTGAATGGGAACACGGCCACCCCTGCCACGCACACACTGTCCGTGCGGTGGCAGAGCTGAGCAGTTTCGACAGACCAAGCAGCCCACGACCCTAGAGGATGTGCTTCCCCTTCTCGCGCTTGGTCGTTTCCACATCGCCCTGGGAAATTTTGCCAGTCTGCACACACACCACCTTGTCACATTATCCATGTCACTTTGATTTATTATATAAAGCCTTTAAAATGGAGGCTTTTGCTTCTAACCACATGAAGCTAGTATCATTGGCCGTGAATAAAAGCTAGCTGTAACAATTACTTCTAGGATACTGTGAATACGTTCTAGATGGACAGCGTCTCCTGGCCTGGGACCCGCTTGCGCCAGGTTAGAGATTCCAAGAATGGAATCCACACCAACACTCTCTTCTCGGCATCAGAACTGGGGATCCTAACCATGTAAAGCCCCGAGTCCGGGATTGCCTAAACTGCAGGTTTTCTCCACTTCAGAGCCACTGGCACATCAGGCCAGGTGCCCCCGCCCCGTGTGGGCCGCTGCCCCGGGCACTGCACGGGGTTCGGCAGCACCCCGGCCTCTACCTTCCAGGTGCCAATAGCGCCCCCCTCTGTTATAACCCCCGCACATGTCTGCAGTCATTGCCAACTTCTTGGGGGACGGGACACAAAGATGGCCCCCAGCTGAGAACCACTGCAACTCACACGGGTCTAACGTCACCTGGGCTGTCACGACAAGCCCCATATTTGGCAAACGACACGAAGGTTTGAGACACCTGCACCTCGAGTCTCTGCTACATGTGGCGTGCACACTGCTGTGTGTGTACGAGACACACTGTGTGTGAGTCAGAGTGACGAGGGGCTGGGCAAGCTGCCCCCACCGCGTGAGCACCCCCACCCACTGCCCCTGGGGCCCTGCGGCCCCCCGCCACCCCCCTCCCCCGCTGCAGCCAGCAGGGACAGGACACCCTGCACAGCATACCTGACTGGGTGCAGGACTTCATGTGCTCGGGCCAGTGGGCCTGCTGGCAGGGGTAGTCGCAGTAGCTGGTGTTCCAGCAGCAGTAGAAAATGGCCTCCTTCTTGCAGTTGGCACACCACTGCTTCTTCTTGGTCTCGTCCACGGCCTGCTGCTTCTCCAGCTCCAGCTGCTTCTTCACCTCGGCGATCAGCCGGTCCCGCTCCTGCTCCAGGCTCTGCCGCATCTCCGCCATGGTCAGCTCTGCCGAGAGCGGGGAGGACACTGGCCTCATCCCCCGTCCCCGGGCCCGGGCGTGGGGTTGTTCAGGGCACATCAGACGTGAGTCCCAGCTCGGGGATGCCCCGGCTGTGTAGCCCCGCCCCCCAAGCCCCGACGTCTTCATCTGGAACATGGGCACCTGACCGGGCGGCTAAGTTAACTATGACCTTCGTGGATCAACAGCTCAGTAACAACATAGCGGAAATGACAGCCCCACAGTGGTTCTGGGGGGGCCTTCCAACACACCCTCAAACAAGGGCCCCTAAACTCCCTCTGAATTGTATCACAAGTACAAGCCTTTTCTTCTATAGAATATTTATATGGCACCTCCTATATGCCCTGTTCTAAACACTTTGTAAATATTCACTCATTTAATCAATACACCAATCCTAGCAGGTAAGTACTACTATAGTACCTTTTCCACAGGGCAGGAAACTGGGACACACAGCTAATAACTGGGGCAGAGCCGGGACTAGAACTCGGACACACTCCCTCTCAGCCCGCCTGGTGGCATTGAGGACATCTAGCAGGCAGGGCGTGGCGGCTGACATGATGCTCACAGGGCATCCAACTACTGAGTCTGCTGAGCTCTCTCTTCATTTTACTTCAAAGAATTTAAGTCCATTTGCAATCCACCAGGGAGCAACCCGAACACTCAAATAAAAGCTTCCTCAATTCCCTAAGATCCTCTTTCTGAAATTAAAACAGGACGACCTTTCCAAAACAGAGCAGGCAGGAAAATGAATCCCTTGTAAAGAAGACATCCCTTCTGGCCACACTCCTTTCCACCACTCATGACCGCCTGTAACCAGGGGCCGGCTCTGGTCAGCCCACCGGTGGTTCTTACCCAAACGCTCAGTCACTACTTGAAACTGGAGAGCCTTTGCATAAAAATATTGTTTGACTTGACTAGAAAAGAGAAGCAACATCCGAATAAACTTCCTGAACGGCAACAAGCTACAGAGTCGGGGGTTCCCCCTCTGAGTGGCTCAATAAGGATCTGAATTTGCAAGGCGTGAGTTCCCAGTCCATCACCAGTGACCAGCGGTGCACGGCCGGGTGTGCCTCGCCACCCAGGAGAGCCTACGGCTTCCCGCATTCGGACTCTGCGGCTGGTGCTACGTGAGGGTCTGACACCTGCTCTACCTTTGGGGGAAAAAACCTCCGACAGTATGTACACAGAATGGTAGGCGAAACAGCCGTCGGTCCGATGCAGGGACCCACAAAGCAGCTTTGTCTACAGTGTGGGGGGCACGGAGTATTTCAGACTCAGAGACAAAACTCAGCACTCACTGGAGAAGGGGGCAAGTCTGGACTTGAATCCCAGCTCTGTGATCTTACACAACTCCCCTAACATGCCTGCGCCTCTCAGTCTCGCCTAAAAACTGGGATAGCAAAGCCCTTAATCATAAGAGTTTTGGTAAGAATTAAACTGGCTACTTCATGGAAGAGCACTTAAAACGGATCCTGGCACAGAGTAAAGAGATTAATAAGGAGGAGCTGCTAGCACTGTTGCTGCTATTACTTTGATGCCGAGGCTGGTGTTTTGCAGAGAAGAAAGGAGGCACAGCAGTTTCTCGGTGCTCGTCACCGATTCGTTCCGGAACTCGTGACGAGTGCCGAAACCGACGAGTACCGAGCACACGACGAGGATGAAGCATGTTCGGGGCGGCGTTGTGACTCACACAAGTTCTAGCAAGTGCGACAAAACCCAGGCAAGCGCCAAGTGCTGAAACACTTTTTCTCGTCAAAATGGGACGAGTACAGGGTTTGACAAGCTCAGCAGCCGACGAGTACCAGGTATGACTGTGCTTTAAAACTGGCTTTTAGACCCGGTTTCTCCAGGCTGGACTCCCCGGGAGTCCGCGGTCTCCCCAGGAGTGGTACCACCCCAGGCCCACATTTGCCTGAGTTCACACCTGGGCCTGACTCAGGAGGTGCAGAGAAGGTCACACCCCGAACCCTGCTCAGTGCAGACCCACCCGCCAGGCCTTACCCAGGTTGTGTTTCATCTCGGAGAGCTCCTGCTGGTGCAGCCACTGCAGCTTCTCGATCTCGATCCTCAGCCTGCGGATCTGCAGGAAAGAGTCAGAGTCAGACTTAAAAGGCAGGTCTGGGTGCAGTTCACGAAGAGATCCCAGAAGCTCGACCTCTCACTGGCTGCGAGGAATTGAAAACTTATGTAAAAAAAATAATAGAAAACTTCCCTAACTTGGGGAAAGAAATAGACATACAACTCCAGGAAGCTCAGAGGGGCCCAGACAAGATAAACCCAAAGAAGTCCGAGCTAACACATATCATCATTAAAATGCAAAAGCCTAAAGAGAAAGAGAGGGACTTCCGGCCAAGACGGAGGCACAGGTAGACACACTGTGCCTCCTCGCACAACCAACATACGGACAACAACAATTTAGAAACAGAGTAACAACCAGAACTGACAGAAAATTGAACTGTATGGAAGTCGGACAACCAAGGAGTTAAAATAGACACATTCATCCAGACCGGTAGGAGGGGCGGAGCTGGGCAGCCGGGCGGAGAGGGGCCACACGGCACACAGAGCGTTGGGACCGGGCGTGTAAGACAGCAGCGGCGGACCCTGGGCGTGCAAGCAGCCGCTGGCAAAACCCAGGCCGAGGGGTGGCAACCGGCAGACCCAGTGAGGTGGGGATTGTGAAGCAAGGATCCCAAAGCTGAAAAATAGAGCCTTAGGGCACTGATTGAAAACACCTGTGGGGGTTGAGGTACAGGGAGAGGCTCCCAGCCTCACAGGAGAGGTCGTTTAAAAGGCCCACAGGGTGCACAAGCCCACCCACATGGGAATCAGCACCTGAAAGGTCCAGTTTGCTTGGGGGCAGCGGCGGAAGGGTCTGAAATCCGCAGAGAGTGGAGCAAGCGCCATTGTTCCCTCTCGGACCCCACCCCAAACATAGCGTCACAACCCAGCGACTAGGGTGCCCCACCCTAGTGAACACCTAAGGCTCCACCCCTCATACGTAAGAGGTGCGACCAAAGGGTGGGGGGAGGGGGAGGAAGATGGCTCTAACAGAGGAACAAATGAAAGCCCCAGAACTGATCATTTTAAGCAACCGAGAGATAGCCAACCTATCAGACGCACAGTTCAAAACACTGGTGGATCAGGATGCTCACAGAATTGGTTAATTTTGGTCGCAAGTTAGATGAAAAAATGAAGGCTATAATAAGTGAAATGAAGGAAAACACACAGGGAGCCAATAGTGATGGAAAGAAAGCTGGGTCTCACATCAATGGAGTGAACCAGAAGGAAGAAACAAACAACCACACAGAAAAGAATGAATAAATAAGAATTTTTTAAAAAAATGAGGACAGGCTTAGGAACCTCCAGGACATCTTTAAACGTCCCAACATCCTAATTATAGGGGTACCAGGAGAAGAAGAAGAGCAACAAGTGGAAAACTTATTTGAATAATAAAGGAGAACTCCCCCAATCTGGTAAAGGAAATAGACTTCCAGGAAGTCCAGGAAGCTCAGAGAGTCCCAAAGAAGCTGGACCCAAGGAGGAACACACCAAGGCACATCATAATTACATTAGCCAAGGTAAAAATGAAGGAGAGAATCCTAGAAGCAGCAGGAGATAAGGAGACAGTCACCTACAAAGGAGTTCCCATCAGACTATCAGCTGATTTCTCAAAAGAGATCTTGCAGGCAAGAAGGGGCTGGAAAGAAGTATTCCAAGTCATGAAAGGCAAGGACGTGCATCCAAGATTGCTCTACCCAGCAAAGCTTTCATTTAGAATGGAAGGGCAGATAAAGTGCTTCTCAGATAAAGTCAAGTTAAAGGAGTTCATCATCACCAAGCCCTTAGTTTATGAAATGGCCCTTATTTTATGAAATGTTAAAAGGACTTATCTGTGAAAAAGAAGATAAAAAACACGTATACGAAAATGACAGCAAACTCACAATTATTAACATCCACACCTAAAACAAAAAGAAACTAAGCAAACAACTAGAACAGGAACAGAACCACAGAAATGGAGATCACATGGAGGGTTAGCACCAGGGGAGTGGGAGGAGGAGAGAGGGGGAAAAGGTACGGAGAATAAGTAGCATAGATGGTAGGTAGGAAATAGACAGGGGGAGGGCAGGAATAGTATGGGAAATGTAGAGGCTAAAAAACTTATGACACAAGGACATGAACTGCGGGGGATGGGGTGGGAGAGGGCGTGCAGGGTGGAGGGGAATGGAGAGGGGGTAATGGGAGAGCTGTAATAGCATAATCAATAAAATATTTAAAAAAGAGAGAGAAAGAGAGACTCTTCTTAAAAGTATCAAGAGAAAAACAGCTGGTTACCTACAAAGGAGTTCCTGTAGACTGTCGCCAGCTGATTTCTCAAATAGAAACTTTGCAGGCAAGAAGGGACTGGCAAGAAATACTCAAAATCCTGAAAAGCAAGGACCTAGAGCCAACATTACTCTACCCAGCAAAGCTATCATTTAGAACTAAAGCGCAGATAAAGAGCTTCCCAGACCAGAAAATACTAAAGGAGTTCATCACCACCAAACCAGTATTACGTGAAATGTTAAAGGGTTTCCTTTAAGGAGAAGGAAAAAAAGTCAAAACAATATTGTTCATGTTAACAAAAAATGACAAGAAACAGACATCTGTCAACAACTGAATCTAAAATCAAAATCAGGGAACAAGCAGAAAAGAAACAGACTCACAGACAGAGCGTTCTGTCAGGTGCCAGACGGGAGAATGAGTGAAAAAGGTGAAGGGATTAAGAAGTACAAGCTGCTTGTTACAAAACAATCACGGGATGTAAAGTAGAGCCTAGAAAATATAATCAATAATACCGTAATAACTATGCATGGGGTCAGATGGGTACAAGATTTACAGGGATAAACAGTAAGTTATAGAATGTCCAATCACTGGGGTGTACAACCAACTGGAACTGAAAAATAAAAAGTGATTAAATGTTAAAAAATAACGAACAGCAATGAAGTATTGTGGGGGGTGAGGGGCGGGGAGGTTTCTTTAAAGCAACATGTTCCCCTCTTGCTGGATGTCCCGACGTAATCTGAAAGAGCGTCGTATCAGCAAAAACATCAAGGCAATCCACTGATCCCCCGTGAAACCCCTCACACAAGCCTTTCTGTCCATGCAGGCTTCTTGGGGCGCCTTCCTGAAGATTCTCTCTGCCTCGCCCGACAGCTAGCCCAGCCCTGCCGGACCCTCGTCGGTCTGTGATGTTGCACGAGATTCCTGCATGTCTCTATCACATGAGCGGCGGAGGCTCAGCACACAGAGTCTTAGACAACAAGGATCACTTGCATAAAAAAAGCCCTGTCTTCCGGAGAAGATCGGGGAGCCGATTTTACACGCAGCAGAAAGACTTGGTTCCCAGTTTCAGCACCATTAACTCAGGCCCTGGTCGGGGCTGTTTCACGAAGAAGGAGCTGATCACCCACAGCAGGGTGCGTCCCCCCAGTACAGCAGCCGGCCGGCGCAGCCCAGAGACATACACACCCTCCCCAGCAGCCCCCGTCGGCCGAGCAAGCCTGGCGCTGGGCCCGGGACCCTGGAGGGATGTTTGGAGACATGTTTTCAGGGGCCACCCACCCCACAGCACCCACGAAACACTTGCGGCAAAAGCGAGAGCACGTGTGCTCCCTGACCTCGGCTATGGTGCTTCCGGTAGTGTTTTTAGAAAGGTCGTTGTATATTTCCGTCATCGTCCCTTTGATGGCGTCCATCATCTGAAAGACAGAGAGAGAAACCTTCAGGCGACCGCTTCCCAGATGCTCTTCTAGATGACACGCCTGTATCTAAACCCTTCCTATATAAAGCAACGGGTCTCCACTGGGAGCTCAGGACTGGTGGGGGAGGGGTGGGAGGTGGGGGAGGGGTGGGAGGTGGGGGAGGGCGACTACTGACATCTACTGGGTAGAAGCCAGAGATGCCCTAAACACCGGGGGGTGCACCAAGCAGCCCCTACGACAGAGCATCACCCAGTCCAAAACATCACAAGTACTGAGCCGGCGAAACCCCGATATCAACCAGAAAAACAGGGACCACCCACAAGTTCCCCGCCTCCTACTCCAGGAAAACCTCACAATCGTAAAGCTACTTTCTGCAGCCACAGGCTAGGCAGAAGAGCCCAACTTGGCCCCCCGCTGTGTCTAGAGTGGCCAGCACAGCACAGTGGGTTCAAGGGAGGAACTGTTTTGTAGTGTTGCTGTTGTTTTCAATTCTTTCCCCTTAAAAACAGAAACCACCATCACTTTACTGAGATATCACTGGTAACCCCTACAGTCCCCCGTTCGCAGTGTACAGTTCAATGGCTCCCAGCACATTCAGAGTCCTACTTCCATCCCCACGATCCATTTCAGGAGGTCTTCACGACCCCGAAGAGACGCTCCAGTCCCCCTTAGCTTTCACACGCCCCAGGATCCCCATCGCCCCGCACTCCCGAGACCCGCCGATCCGCTTTCTGTCTGCGCGGATTAGCTCAATCCAGAGGCTGCACGCATGCGGAGCCCAACCGCCTGTGGCCCTCCTCCGGACGGGCTTCTTGGATGTAGCACCCTGCACTCACGGCTGTATCAGTGCCCCGTGCCTTTTTATGAGCCAAAAATATATAATCCACTGTGCGGGTGTAGCTAGGGTGTGACTTTAATGTCGGTGAGCAGGGCACTGCCCCTCCAGCTTCTTTAACTAACTGAGCCCTGAGGGCACCAGCCAGGGTGTGGCATCAGCCCCGGTCCACCGCGGACATCCAGGAATCGGACAACCACGTGCATCTGCAGGACAAGGTTCTCTCCTACCTCCTCCCACGTGCCAACTGACCAGGCCCCGCCTGACTATGGCCGAGTCTCCCGTGTTCTGCAGCCTGAAGGTGGGGCAAAGGGCACCCTCACTCATGTCTGGTGCCCAAGATCTGTCCCAGCACCACCTCACACCACTCACACCCTCTCTGAGGCTCAGTGTCCCCACGTGGGAGGCAAGGATGGTGACAGTGGCCCCTCTCGGGGCGTGTGCAGGATTGAACGAGAGAAGCACGCACAGACTGCAGCCCAGCACAGTAGGTGCTCATCTGATCTTTACAGAAAACTAAACCCACGTGAGCATGTAATTACGAAAATGCTGCCAGCCCCTGAAAGAGTAACCCCAACTTCACCCCAAAATACGAGCAGGGAGATGAGTCAAGTATGTTGTGGGGATCCCCGCTTCCCGTGTGCCGGGGAGCCACAGTGGGACACTGCCAAGAAAAACAACTCTGTGTCGCTCGCTGTACGTGGGGTCATTCTACGCAGCCCCCCCTCACCCTGCCGCACCGTCCACGTGGACTTAAAGTGTGAAGACGAAAGCGCTTCACGTGAAAACCTCAGAAAATGGATGAAGTCGATATTTATCCCTAACGCCACAGTTGCATTCCAGCCTAAAGAAGTCACGAGTCTGTGGACTGACGTCCACTCTCACTCCCAAATATAGCCACGGGCTCAACGTCAACGAGGAGCGCCCTGCTGCCAAAACACACAGATCGGGGTCTTCGGCTCGGGGTCACCTCGGAGACAGGGACGTCCGTCAGCTCCAAAAACACGTCACCGTGTTCACTTTCTTCACGGCAGAGAAAACGGCTATGGAAAACGGCTATCGAACGGCTCTGCTCGAGCAGAAGGGGCGGCCACGGGGGGGGCCGGCTGGGCGAGGACCACTGGCAGACCCGGGGCTGCGTTCCCCTCTGTCTGCAGACAGCGTGGACCACATCGATGGCAGGCGATACAAGGCTCAAGTACAAGCAGAACGAGAGACCATTTAGGCAATTCCAGGCACCTCCTTAAATCAGTGATGGAAAAATGAGCCTCCTGTCAACTCCCTGGAAACTCACGTGCGGATCCTAAGTCTGGGTTTGGCGCCATCGTGCCTTTAACACTTGGATGACAAGACCAAATCTCTCCCTTAAACAAAAGGAGTGGACAGGGAAGAGTATCTGGTGAGAGCAGACTTAATTTCAGGCCCATTTAAATAAAATGTAATTTAAGTAATAACGTTAAGTCAACACTAGTGCAGGTGCAGAACGGGTAAAGGCAGAACCTGAGGACGGCCAAAAATAGCTGGCATTTGAATCGTCCCCTTGTGAAGTTTGGGGACTTGATCACGATGCACACATTTTATTCAAAAGGGCGCAGACGTGCTAAAGAAGACACCAAGTTATCCCCAAGACTGGATTCTGATGATCTCTTTAGGTATCGCACTGTAAGCAGGAGTGCTTTCAAAAGCCACGTGCAAAGCACAATCAGTGTGTGGACCCATCTAGACATCCGCAGTCAGCAGGCTGCGTGAGAACTCACAAACCAGCGCAGAGCCGCTCCCTGGATCCTGGCTGACACCATTCACATCCCAGCACAATCCTTCACTGACTATGTGACCCTAGCCAAGCTGCACAGCCTCGCGGGACCTCAGTTTTCTCATCTATAAAATGGGGGCAAAAAAGCACCAACCTCATCGACTTGCCACTTTGAGCAACACACAAATAGCATTTACAACAGCGTGTGGCCCCGAGTGAAAGCCGAGCCAACCTAAGCTATTGCTGGTGTCACCTTAGCAAGAGACAGACTCCGAGACGGCTGGCCCAGTGACCTGCTTCTAGCAACGGAATACGGCGAAGGTGAAGGTGGCCAGCTCTGTCTCTCACTGGCTTTGATGAAGCAAACCGCCATGTCCAGGCAGCCCACGCAGCATTGAATGAGAGTGGCCTCCAGGCCACAGGAGCTGAGAAACAGAGCCCGAGGAAGTGGGTCCCTCCCCTGTCAATCTCCGGGCGAAACCCCAGCCCTAGGAGACACCAGGACTGCGCTCAGCCAGAGGCTCTGAGGCCGAGGACTCGGCTGAGCCTGCCCCGCAGAGACGGGGAGTTAAGAAGCTGGCGATGTTTGGAGTTGCTACACTTGGTAGGCATTTGTCATGCCGCAACAGGTGACTCGTACACCTTGATAGAAATTTTTTTTCATAGCCATCAAAAACTCACTGGTAAAAAAATGATGTGTGAATGGGTGTGTATCTCATGCATCCAGAACTAAAAAAGAGTCTACCTTTAACGCAACATAATAGCAACTCTTTTCCTCACAAAAGAGACAACTATTCTTAAGTATTTTCACCCATTCTCTCTATAGACTTAAGGGTTGACTTATCAGTAACTCACTAGTAATTGGCTCACTCTTAAAGAGTAAATTATCATTACCTACTTGGTAATTTATGAAGTACTTCGTAGATTATTACTCGTCAGCTACAACTGACAGTTACTGACACTAACACACGCGTGACGAGGACTTAGGGACAACACGCACTCACGCACCAACCCCACCAAACCACCTCCTGGGTGCCAGGCCTGCTCGGGCCCTGGCCGTGAACAGAGCAGACCACCCCCTGTCCTTGTGGAGCTGACATTCTGACAGCTATTCCTGCCCCCGAGCTGTCTATCGAAACGTCCCTGCGTCCCTCCAGAGCACCCTCGGGTGTCACTGAGACCTCCAACTCCTACTTGCCCGAATCCAGCGGAAGCATAAAAGCAGGTGGCAAATCAAGAGAGAAAAAGAAAGCAGCGTAACTCGCACACGATGGGACGCCTGCCCGCCCACCCACCCCTCAGCAAGGGCTCTGTGCCCCAGGGCGGGGGCCGGGGGTGGGGGTAGGAGCCTTTCTGGCTCCTACAAAAAAACTGGGCGTGGATGTCACACCTCAAGTCTCACAATTAAGCCTCTGTCACATTGGTTCCACGTGGCTTCTAACAGCAATACCCACCAACCCCCAGTCTGTTGTTAACCGAAGGAACAGAAAATCTGTCCTTAACGAGTGACCTGGATTCTGGAGGGTCCCTTGGAGGCTGCGCCACCCATCTTCCTGCTGGGCCCTGACGTTAGGACCAACCCCCTCCTAGAGGAAGACTCAAGTCTATTGTACATTTCTCCGCTTAGACGCAACTTCGGACCCAAATGTTACCATGTAGTCTTGGAGCTCCTCAGTACGAACAGGGTCTGCCCTCCTAAGCAGCCCCTAAGACCCGCGAGGTCACGACCTGTTGGGAACTGCCCTGCCTGGTATCAGGAGCTGTAACCCCCGCATAGGCTAAGGCTGAGGGAGTGGCCTTGGACCATAAGCCAGCAAGGAGACAAAAGCTTATCTCCCTGGCAGGAGCGCTACTTCTGCTGCTTCATTCATAACAGAACCCCAATGCTGGGTCTGTTAGCCAATGACGGGTAAGATTCCCCAAGGGGGGGAACAGCCTAAGACAGGCACAATCACGTGGGAGGCCCCCAAGGAAGGACTTTGGGGGCTACAGCAAAAGGGGATGATGGACCCTCACTCCTTGGCTTTGACATAGCCTGAGTTCTCATCATCTGGGAGAAAATCTCCTTATCTCTTGGCTGCCTTAGTTCCCTTGCTCCACCTAAGCCTGAAACAATGACAGGGTGGTGCTGCCCTGTGCTGAAAAGGGCGGGTTCCCTGGGTGATCAGGCCTAAGAAAGAATATGTAAAATCCTGTGAAACCTGCTTTGTTTAGAATGCTCTCAACTGAATGATAAGGGTCCAAGGAAGAAGTTTGTTCCTCAAAGTCTTACAGCTCTTTGATCCTGACTCAAAATAGGCCCTCAGACTTCCTTGTTACCTATCCTTTGATCCTTACTTCCTAGCACTGAGTAATGAGCTTTTACCTGACTTCTTATTCAAACGAAACCAATAAAAAGCCTCTCCAGAGGGGGAATAGGGTGCTCTCCCCACCAGGGAGGGTGGCCAAGCGTGTGCTCCCCACGTGAGGAGTGGACATGGCGCCCTCCAGGAGAAAGGGTGGCCAAGGCGCTCCCCGCGTGAGGAGTGGCCCTGCTGTTCCTATTCCCCCACAGGACCTGGTTGTCTCCGTGTATATTTTTCTCACTTGTTGAGGAACAACCACAGCCAACTTGGATACTGCTGGCCAGTGTCCTCCACAACCACCCAACTGGCTTTCATCAGGACGCCGGGCCCCGACGTACCCCCAGGCGCCCGCTGGCACTCACTTTGCTAGTGTACTTGGCGATGTCCGCGGCGACGTCGGCGGAGGCGGTGGCGATGGGAAGGTCTGCACTGACTGAGGACGCGAGGGTGCTTGTGGAGCCCGAGCTGGTGACCAGGGGCGACGACTGGGTGGTGGTCACCAGGGTGATGGTGGAGGTGGACGGGCTCTGCGTGATCTCCTTCTGCTGGACAGCTGGGGAAACAAAGGGCCCCGGTCACCCCGCTGCCGCCGGAGGGCCCCGTTCCCAGCACGAAGCGGCGGTGAGGGAGTGGGGCCGACAGGCACCCCCGTGAGCTTTTCTACTTTCAAGGGACAGGGGCTCTCTCCTTCACCAAACGCTGGCCGGGCTCCTCTGAGCCCTTTCTTGATTATAACCCTCAAACTTGACCTAGAGAGGCTTGAACAAACACTAACACAGCTTCTAACAGCTCCAGGCAACATCCCTCGGTGACCCAGCCCCGCTTAAAGTGTCTGCCTGAGAAAACTCGAGGCCCCCCAAATAATCGGCTGTCCCATCCGATACCTAAAGGCAGGGCACCTCTCTCCCAGTGTCTACGGGAAGGCAGGAGCCTGACTTCGAAAGGCGTAATCAGCAAACCCCAAAGGGTTTCCTGCGTGCCATCCCCCATCTCCCACTCGGTGTACGCTGCCCCTTCCCCGCCTCTCCTCAGTGCCCACTGCCCCCTCCTGACCCCTTTAAACACCCAGTCGCCCCTGTACACACCCAGGTGACTTCAGTTCACAGTGGACATTTCCCCTACTGCAAATAGTAAATCACTGGCGCAGATCCCGTCCATACCACTGCACCCAGCGCCCCGCTTGGGTGGTCTGACACAGGCATGTGGACCCTGTGCGCCGTCCCATTATCCGTGAGCCTCTCCTGGCCTGAATTCCCCTGGGGGGGCTGTCCCGCCAACGGGGTAAGAACACAGAAGCCGGGGACAGTTCCTTCCAACCTCACAACCCCTTAGTGGTGGGCTCTGGCCCGCCGACTCTGTAAACTGGGAGATCAGTCCATCTCACCCCAACTCTGCCTGCCCAACTTTCTGGTCCTCCTGCTCCCCCGTCTCGGAAGGCTTGCACTGGGAGGCCCGATGCAAGCTCTGGCTGCTGCCTTCCACCCTCCTGTCCTGAAGCTACTCCCAATAGGGTGCGCTCACGACACGGGAGTTTCCAACAAGGAGCCCAACTTTCGAGGGTCTCAGTGCAGGGTCCCCGTGGAGTAAGACCTATGTCGGTGCTCACGAAGCTAGGCAAACAGGCACCCCAGTCCAGCGAGAACTCTGCCCCTTCATCGGCTCCCGAGGGAGCCTCCTGCACGGCTGGAGGATATTTTGATTCTACAACTTCAGCAACTGGCGCCCAAGGCTGGCTTTCCCTGTGGGTGTGGCTAATCCCTAGTCACTAAGGTAGCCCCTGCTACCGATTTCTCCCTGTACTCTTTCCAAAGCAACGCCAAGAGGTTCACAGGTATGCACGGGAAACTTACACGAAGGTATGCGATGCAGCACTGCTTACAACAGGAAAAAACTGGAAGCAACCTACATGCCCATCAGTAGGGGAGCGCTCTCAATAAACTATGGAATACTACGCAGCAGTCAAAAAGAATAAGGTAGGGCTATTATGTACTGACATGGACGGATCTCCAAAACATGCTGATGGGTGAAAAAAATGGTACCATTTTTATGTTTTAAAAAAAGAAAAAAGGAAAAAAAAAAGTAGTATTTTCATGAAGAGTCATATATATGTAAATATATATGCATACATGCATAAAAAAGGTTTTACAGTTAACAGCGGCCGCTGAGAAAGGGAGAACCATAAAATGAAAGATCAGTCCATTGGGGCAGCAGACTTTCGTGTAAATATCTTGCCCCCTTTCTAAGGAGAATCCACACCACGTATTGTTTGTAAAATAAAAAAATAATTGTAAATAAATGGAAAAAATCGAGCTGCAAAACAATTTTTAAAAATAATGCCACGTGGAATGTGTACGGCCCGCAGCATGTGACAGCCGGGAAACAAACGGGAACTGAAAAAAAAATAAAACAATGGTTTTGGTTTTTTTTTTTTTCTCCTGTCAATGTGGCAAAAAGGGCGCGGGTGCCACGGAGAACAGAACAGGGGCTCGGTACCTTTCACAGCCTGTCTGGTCTGATATCTCGTCCCCTGGGAAGACTGAGGCTGCTGCTGCTGGCTTTGCGGCGGCTGCTGCTGGCGCTGCATCTTCTGCATGTGCCACTTTTGGGAGGACGTTTGAAACTTACTTGATGCGTTCCACACGACCCGCTGCACGGCCGGGGCAGTCTCCTTCGGTAAAAGCGGCCTCTGCTTTTTCACTGGGCTTCCCGTGGCGGTGGCGGCCGGGGCCGTGACCGTGGACGTGGTGCTGGTGGTGGCCGTGACCCCAGCCGTGGGAGTTTGGGAGGACGAGCGGGTGAGGACCGGCGTGTCGGGGGGAGACTGGCTGCCTGCCGTAGTGGACAGTGGCGGAGCTTTAGCTACCGCTGAAGCCGATGCATGGAAAAAAACAAACAGAAAGTCACGTGACTGAGGTCTGCCTGCAGGGTCCTCCACTCCCGCAAGTTCTGGGGGGAAGCAACAGAAGGCCAGGAAGGCCCAGCAAATTCTGTCCCCGAGGACGCCCAGAGGAGCACGCCCTCCTTCGATGAGGGGAGCCTGCTCACATCCGAGACCCAAGTCAGCAAGGTCAAGAACCCTGGGGGACACGGGTCAACCAGGCCCAGCCCCTGCCCTCAAGCTGTCCGTCAACTCGCAGATGCGGCAGTGGATGAACTGAATCACTGACAAGTGTCTTGTTTTCCAAAGTGAGAATCGGGTCAGCGCTTCGAGAAAGACCCACCTGAATTAACCCAGGGACGAAGAGAAACCCTCCGGCTAGATAAAGCAGGGACCGGGACGACCCAGATGGCTTCCCAATGGCCAAAGCCAAGAACACTGAACCGCTCAGAAACAAAAGCACCCTTTTCACCTCGTCTGAGTCCCTCCAGGACAACGTCTCAGCGAGACGGAGCCCCGACACCTAACCCTACAGGGTACTCCGCCCCAAGACCAGGACCTTGCCCACACGATGGGATTTATCCAGGATTGGGGGACCTTGTTCTTGTTTTGACTGTACTCACTCCTGCCTCGTCGTGAGGTGCAGCACACGACACTGGTTCACCTATTGTGTGGTGGTCAAGTTTAAGTCCAACACGGACTTGTTTTTTTTTTAAAGAGAAGGTTGCTTCCAATAAAAATATTAAGTCAATAATGATACGAGCAGGACTTGGGAATGGCAAAATAACAAATGTGAATGCCTCAAATTTGAAATAAGCTACTTTATGGAGTATGTTCTGGGAAGAGCTGGACTGTGCGGGGAGAGGGTAGGATTGCAACAGGCAGGGGTGAGAATCTGGGGGGAACAGCATCCACCAAGACGTGTTGAGGGAGAGGGAGCACCGCACTGCGGGTAAGTGAGGGTAGGCAGTGGGGAGCGGCCGGAAGGCAGGTTAGAGCCAGCGGCACGGAGCACGGTGGAAGGGCTCCTCTGTACATGGGGTGGCGTCTATCACTGCAGGGGTGCCGGCCACCGGGGAGGGGAGCCTCCCCGCAGGGAGGAGGCCCCGAGGACCCCACACACCACACAGGTTTAAGGCAGCCCTCCGCTCCTAGACAATGTGCCTGAACGGCAAACTCCTTTCATGAAGGTTCCGCCAGCCTTCTCAGAGTTAGTGCACCCGGAAAAGACACGCGCTGGATGACTCTAAGGAAGACCTTGCGGTGAGCTGTGCGGTTTGGAGTGCCAGGGAAAGTGAGAAGAGAGAAGCTGGCTTTTCTACCTGGGGGCTTTCCTGGTGGCTATCACATCAGGCTGGCGCTCCTGCTCCTCTGGAGAGGAGAGTTCAGCCAAGTTCAAGGGCAGGGCTGGAAGGGGAACTCCCCACGGTGCGGAGCCCTCATCCGTTCCCAGACACTGGATAGAGCCCCTGCCCCTTCCAGGGGGACAGGTGGCTTTGAACTCAGCCCTTCTAAGAGGCCGTATGGGGTGGCTGACCTGCAGGGTTTCCAACCTGCAAAAGTACACTCAGGGCCTCCCCATCTTCTGCCAAGTTACCAAAAAACACGTTGTTATTGTTGATTAACTAGCCTAATCCACACTCTATCCACCCCCTACCCCACCCCACCCCCCGCACAAAGGACAACCACGAAAAGGTCTTTTTTGCTGTCCAGACGTGTAACAGCAAACGGCAGGCTTTGCACACGGGCTACGGCTCTGCCACAATCACGCATCCCACCCGTCCTCCAAGTGCCCCTTGGGGGTTTCCTTTAGACACTGAAGCATTTTAATTTCTCGTCTACGGGGCTCTGATGCTTTATGGAGAAGAAAAAAGGGCTATGGAAAATTCCACTTGTCCCAGAAATTCAAGAGGGTCCGATCAACCGCCTCGAGCCCAACAAAGGGCGCGTTTCTTGAAGGCCAGCACACCGGAAGCTGTCCCATCCAATTAACCTACTCATTCCAGGGTTCGGTCACTGCCTTGGACATAAAGGAGGGCCTTTTAAGAGAAAGACAGAAACTGCTGGTGTTGTGGGCATAGCAAAGGTCTCTAGGCGAGCTCCCTCTGCCTCTGTTCTGCGGTCACCGGCTGCAAAGGCTGTTTTATTATCTGAAGATTCACATTCTACACATAAGCCGTAGTTCTCGCTGAAGGTAAGCTGGAGGTCATCACAGCACATTCCAAAATGCCCTTCGCTTAATAAATGTGTAAGGAGCAACACTTTGTTGAAAAAAGGTGCTCTGTCTACTGCGGAGTCCAACATGAAGCCAATTCTTCAAGACCCAAATCACCATTAGGGATTATGGATTTAAGACTAGTCGGTTTTGCCCCAAATGCTAGGAATCTGATCTAACTGAATTATGTTGTAGAATCATCTTCAGCTTCATCCACCACTCAGGGTCTCCTGAAGAGATTTCCCTCAGAGAGCAGTGCAAGGAAGAGCTCTACTTCATTTAAGTAACTGAATGTTTTTTTTGTTTTCTGGAACATGTAACATTTTTAAGGAACTGTATTTCCCTTTTTGCTGTGACTGCTGGGAAGCTCACAGCAAGACTAAAATAGTATGTATTTCCACATATAAACTTTCCCCAAACTTCTCACTATTCTGATTTTGTTTGCATTTTGTCTCATGATTATGTATTCTTGTCAATCTGTTATAAGTTCTTTCTGGAAGAGAAAGGGGCATAAAACCAACCAATCAAAAGGCTGAAAGAAAGAACTGGTATAAATATATCCATTCATAGGAACACTGCCATCTGCACCCAAGTAGTCCCCCAAATGGAACAAATGCTACTCCTATTGTTCTCTGAAACATCAGAGGAGGTCCCGCCACGTGATTGCCTTTTTCAGAGGCCATCCCTGCAGCTCAGGGAGGACCTGGGACGGTGGGGTTGTCTCTCTGTCCTTCAGTCCCACTCAAGTAACTGCCTTCTCTCCCTCTGTCCCATCCAAAGACATCCTGGCCTGTCTGGGTGACCTGCACGGCGGAGGGTCCCGAGCAGCTCAGGCTGGCGTAACCACAGAGCAAAGATTCTCAAGGCCCATCTCTGACTTGCCTTTGAACCGGCCAGACTGAGAAATCCCCGAGGGCAGAGAACCCCATCTTACTCAAGGGTATGGCTCAGAAGTCAGCTCCTGTCAGAAATCAGGCAGAGCCAAAACTAAACCTGGCGGTCCCTTAAGTTCCTCGCCGAGTTCGTAAGGTTTTACGGCGGTGACCTCTCCTTTGTCCCCAGGCAATGCCTCTCGGGGCCCTCAGCTCATTCTTCACGACCTTCCTTGTGCCTGTTGGAATCCCCTCGCTGCCCGCTCGCCGAACCAACCAGAAAACATGCTGACCACCTTGTCCACAGGAAGGACGCCCTTCCGAGCGTTCACGCGCTCCTTCCGGGGTTGGGCCGATGTGCTGGGGCGATGACACTTCGGACCGCCACAGCTGGGCAGGTGCCGCTGGAATCCAGGAGCGCAGGACAGAGAACTACCCGGCACAAAGTGTCAGCAGTGCCAGTGCTGGAAAACCCTGGAACCAGGTGGACCGAGTGCCAGCATGGTGGAGTATCAATTCAACTGCGCACTGTGTCACGCCCCCTGGATTTCCAGTGCCCCAAGAAGCACCCTCTACTCTGGAACCCCAATTCTCGATAATGGTCTCGTATTCTGTTAAGAAAACGCACTTTGAGATGCCTGGCCAGCATGAGGGGAAGAAAGGGAAGCCAAACTTATCAAGACCTTCAAAGCGAAGGCTTCTAACAATTTCAGCCTTGTCAAATGTCTAAATGTTGCCAAACGCTTTAGGAAAATAAACAGACATACTAGGAAAGAAATTGCTGGAGCTAAACGTGCCTTGATTACCAAGAGCAACTACTACTTTCTGGGAGACTTTTACTTTTCTGCACTCAGAATCAACCACGGGATTGAGCGTGGGCTGGGAACCAAAGTGTCGCAGGTTCAATTCCCAGCCAGGGTACATGCCTGGGTTGCAGGCTATAACCCCCAGGAACCGCACATTGATGTTCCTCTCTCTCTCTCTCTCTATCTCCCTCCCTTCCCTCTCTAAAAATAAATAAATAAAATCTTAAAAAAAAAAAAGAATCAACCACGCCGGGTACTGAGCAGTAAGAGGTGGGGGGGCCCAGTTTAAGTCCTGGTCCTATGAGATAACCAGCTAAGTGACCTCGAGCCAATCAAACTCCGGGGTCACAGAGCTTTGCTCCTACAAATGAAAGGCAGCATTCGAAACCAAATCAAGAAAAGCGGAAACCGGTTTAGTCACTTACCATCCTGCTTGGGAGATGGTTCTTTGGGTTCCTTCTTATTTTTCCGACCCTCCCGCCCAGAATGGTCTTCTCCTAAATCTATGACAAGTTCGCTCTCCGAGTCGGAGTCCAGGCCCAAGTGGACTGTTGGGGAATCCATCTCATCCTTTCCCTTCAGTTTATCTTTCGTGGGATGGGGCGAGGGTTTGGCTTTCTCCACAAAGTCCTTCTCGGGCTGAGGACTTGCCTTCTCCTTGGCTGGGTCTGAGTCTGCTTTCTCGCTGGGTGGCGACGGGCTTTTCAGCTCCTCTTTGACCTCCACCGGGTTTGCCAGTTTGGGCTTTTTTTTGGCAGCGGAGAGCTCCTTGTCCAGCCGACTCCCCTCTTTGTCTTCTGCGTCTTCTGGTTCATTCTTGGACTTCTGCTCGTCGTCACTGATGTACTCACTGTCGCTGCTGTCCGACTTCTCGGAATCCTCCGAGTCGCTGTGCTCCACGGCCGTATAGACGTCTTCCGAGATCTCATTGATGCCTAAATTCAAAAAGAAAACCCGGAATGTGGCGTTGTCACAAAACAAAGAGCAGGACCAAACACGCAAACATTTTCCATGCCAAACGCTGGAAATTAAAAAAAAAAAATTTCAAATTGTATCACAACCGGCCTGGTGGGGTTAGCAGCGACCTCCAGGAAGACAGGTGACAAGTGGCATTTATATTTGGAGAGGGTTTCAAAGACAGCATGGGACCAAACAACCCAAGTTTTGACTTTATCTGGAGCTTGCTCTTTGCAATATTGGTGACTGGGACATGGAAAACGGGAGGGATGGAAGGGAACACCAGAGATAAACTATTAAAGCTGATCCATTTTACAGAGGAGAAAGTAGAGGCCCAGAGCAATCACTTGTCCTAGGACACAGAGACAACCAAGACAGGGGCAAGGCCCAAACCCTGGGGTGAGTCCAGGGCGCAAAGAGACAAGCCCAAGGCTCGAGCTGAGGCTGCGAACTCACAGGCCACGAGCCGCACCTGACCCGCCGACCCATCTGACTTGGGGAGCAACGGCTTGGCTCACGGGGTAGTTTGTTGTTGCCTATGGATTTTGAATTTGGAACCTGTTGCCCAATTCGCAAAGCAGGAAATTTCACCCAGAAATGAAGATGGGGGGCTGTCTGCTGAGAGTGCAGACCTGGCCACTCTGGGGAACAGGCCTGCGAGGCCACAGCTGGCCCGGGATGAGAGGCCACTGGCCCCGTCAGGTGGGGCGGCACTGACTGCAGGTGACCCAGCGGCCCGCCCCTCTCGCCCTCTGCGCTGATGGAGAGTGGACGGCCGCTGCGTGTGTGCTGTTCGTCCACCGGCAGCGGAGCCAAGGGGAAGACACGTACTTCCACGTGTCTATCAAAAGGGGAGAGAGACAAAACAGCAGGCGTGCCACATGCACACAAATGATGACGGGCAAAGTGTATCTCTGCGGGCAGCTCCCTCTAACCCGCCTTTGTCTCCTGCTACCAGCCAGGAGCGTCACCAGGCAGCAGGTGACGAATACTCTACCCTAAAATTCTGAAAAGAGAAAATCCCAGTCAACGCTTTGTCCTGTGCTCATTCCAGAGCAATGACGTCCTGACCTGGACACAGTGAAGACAAACTCGCAAAAGGGCAGAGCCACGAACAGCCCTGGGCGCTTGACACCGGCAGAATCACTGGGCCGCCTCCACCAGGGCTCGATCAAAAAGAGGAGATGTCAGCCCTGGCTGGTGTGGCTCAGTGGACTGAGCGCCGGCCTGTGAACTAAAGGGTCGCTGGTTCGATTGCCAGTCAGGACCCATGCCTGGGTTGCAGGCCAGGTCCCCAGTAGGGGGCGTGTGAGAGGCAACCACACCGTGATGATTCTCTCCTTCTCCTTCTCTCTCCCTTCTCCTCTCTCTAAAAGTAAATAAATAAAACCTTTAAAAAAAAAGAGAGATGTCAAAATATACAAAAACCCAGATCTGGTATAATTTCTGAATCCTCGGGCTTTTGCCACTGCAGTCAGACATAAGGAGGACGAGCATGACGGTGTGACCGCACATGTGACAGGAAAAGCTTAGGTACCGGAGCCCAAAGGATAGGAATTCAACCCCTGCTCCACTGCTTTCATGAGCTGTGTAACCCTGAACCAGGGACCTACCTCTCTAGCCTCAGTTTCTTCATCTGCAAAATGCAATTGATAACAGTCATCAACCTCCCAGGACAACCTCTGTGCAGTGCTCACCAAGCACAGTGCAGGGTGCGTTGGAAGCACTCAGTAAACAGACATACTAAAATTCTTATTCACAGTAATAATAAATCAAGGAGTTGGACCACCTGCATGGAAGGACCCGAGAGGGATATTTAAATGGACCGCAAAGCTTCATCCACGCCAATCAGTGTCCCAACCAAACTCCTCCGACAGCCCAGGTGACGCCAAACTGCAGCTCCTTCCCTACCCACAGGTCCAAAGCAGCCCCTGACACGTAAACCTTACCGTGGAGTGGCTCTCTCCCCTGAGGCCCAATCACCCCCTATTTCTTCATAAATGCCCCCTTGGTTTTATTTACTTATTCAACCAATATTCCAGAGCATTACATTGTGCACAAGACCCAGTACCTTGGAGAAGGCAAATCTTTATAAGGCAACCTCCCTGCCCTGAGTGAGCTCCCAGGCTACCTGGGAGGGAAGGATAGCCCCCACACAAATGCACTACTGTTGCTTTTGAGCAATACAGTATCAAAGGCGGTGGGCAGATGGGGAGAGCAGTCAGAGGGGACTTCCTGGAGGAGGTGACACTGAGCTCAGCCTTCAGGACAAAGTTCAGGTAGGCAGCATGAGTGCAGGCAGCACGGGGACAGAGGAAGGGAGGCAACAGACACAGAAGCAGGATGGGTCTGCCAGGTGGGGTGGGCCCAATCTGAAGGAGGAGGTTTTGGTTGGGACACTTGGGGACACACTCGATCCTGATGTCAGGACACTGACAGGTACCGACAGGGTTTGCAGAGGGCAGACGCAGGAGGGCCTTTCTGCTCCTAAAGCTTCTCGCCTCCTGCACCTCGAGTCTGCAGGCTGCCCCCAGCGAAGAAGGAGCTCTGAGGGACTCGCAGGGCCTGTCTGAACAACTAGCTAACAAATCCGAAACACGCTGCCCTGGGCGGAAATACATTTTAATGGATTGAACAATTCTAGCTTCAAAGCAGCCCGGACCCAGCTCTGGTTTCACCTGGGTGGCACCCCTACTGGTGACGATGACGACACTGGTGGCAAGGAAAGCAAACCAAAGACGTACCTAATTGTGCTTTGCAACTCTCTATCGTCTTGTCGAGATTGAGCTGGAACCGGCTGCGGATCTGCCGCTTGGGGGAGATGAGAGGGACGGGGGCGGACTGCTGCTGGACAGACTCGCTCAGCTGCTTCAGGTCCATCTCGGCCTTGCTGCGGTCTGCAAGACACCGTCAGGCGCTCATCAGCCCAGGCACCCGGGGCGGGGCGGGGGGAGGCGACTCTCGCAACCCAGTGTCCTCACACACACACACACACATACACACACACACACACACACACACATTCAGAACATGGGAGGAAAAAAATTTGAAACATTTTTGCCATTGGTCCCAACGTCATCAGCCCAATGGCATGGGCTGACTTGGAGATAATGGCCCCAAGAAAGCACTTGGCAGGTTTACTCAGTCTGCTAAACAATCGCCTGGGTCGCCTTCGGCATTTACCATGCATGATCCCAGCCAGATGGCTGCCTGTGGAGCTCAGCATCATTAGGGAATCGCGAAAGCCAAAGGTTACAGTAATACGCTCAATCTCAGTATTAGCAGATAAGCTGACACCACGTCTGGCCGGAGAGTGCTTCGAACTCCAGGCCCACGTCAGCGAGGGCTTGTATCCAAGAGAGACGCCGAGCCCCTCCGAGGAGAGACACTGGGGCCCCAGCTCCTCCTTCACCACGGGGACTTCACTCTTTATTCCTCTTCCACCTACTCTGGAGCTCACGTGAGAAAGGGAGGGGAGAGAGGAAAGAGGCAGACCTTCCTCCCAGCAAGCCCGCCGTCCCTCCCCGCTCTGGCTCCCCCCTCTGGCTCACAGCACCTGAGGGAAGGTAAATAGATTAGCCCTGGATAGTAAATCTGTGTCTTCTCGCTCAGGGACAAGGAGGCCGAGGTCCTTGCCCTAATCCCAGGCAAGGGACTCGGACTGCAGATGATGGCCAAGGGCACCCCCTTCTCCACACCCCCTGCCAATTTCTGCCGTGGGTGCTTTATAGCACCAACTCAACTAGATTCCATGGGTTTGCATTTCTTGAATTGCTTCCCTACCTCCTCATCCACTTCCTCAACTGCCTCCTCCAGGGTCGGGAAATATAAAGAGGGGACAAAACGAAGGAGGCTGGGAAGGCCCAGGAAGCGATGATGAGAGACCTTGCAGGCAGAAGCATCGTCTCTCACCCCGCCCACCAACCTCGGGCAGCCCCTCCGACCGACCCCTAGCAGGGAACGTGGGCACCTGTCCCACCCGCACTGATCCCAGAGCATCAGTCAGAAAACACGTGGCGTCGAAACAAGGACAGAGAGGAGAAGCGACCTTCCAGCCTGTTCGCACGAGCTGAGAGCTCACGCCCCGACTTCCTGCAACACTCTGCTCCCAAAGGCCACCTCCGCCCCCAGGAGACAGACTCAAAGCCTTCACTCTCTCCCTTGGCTTTTGTTGTCTCCTTCCCCCAGGAACAGGGCTCCTCCCTGCCCTGCTCGCCCAGACTGGTTCCTGTGAAGGGACCACAGGCGGCCTCCCAAATGCCCCACCCAACATACCCACAGGCGACCAGAGCAACAAATTGCTCAGACTTGGTTCTGTCACCATAACGAGGCCTCCACTATGATAAGATTAGGATGGGCCTTTTCCCAAAAACACACTCAGGGTGGATGGCCAAGAAGATTCAAGAAGTGAGTGGTCCAAGGAAACAGAGACAGCATCCTTGGCATTCAAGAAAAGGCTCTAAAAACCGTATCAGGGTGTATGTATACAAGTGTGCATGGGTATGCACGTGTGTTCCTGGCACGTGTGTCCATGCACATGCGCATGCTGACCAGAGGCTCTTCAGAGAGCCCACCAGCACCAGGACGGAAGACACTCACAGGTGTGCACGCATGGCCACTTTGGAGGGGGAAGAATGTCTGTTTCCTGGAGAAGCACCTTCTGAAGAGAAGACAGAGAGGGAAGCAGTGACAAAACAGCAAGTAGGAGGAGGCCCAGGGAAACAAGAGCAGGTCCGATGAAAGACAATACAAAGAGAACTTAAGGGCTTCGACAGTGAAGCACCGAATGTGACAGCAAAAGGAAGAATATGACGTCTGTCTGGTAATGTCTGCTCTCAGAAATGAGGAAGCAGCCCGGGCCAGGGAGCTCAGCTGGTCAGAGCATCGTCCCCATATGCCAAGTTGTGGGTTCGATTCCTAGTCAAGGCACATGCAAGAAGCAACCAATGAATATATAAGTGAAATAGCAAATCGATGTTTCTATCTTTATCTCTCTCAAATCAATAAATTTTTTTTAAATGAGGAGCATATTAGACTCCAGAGAAAAAAAGACAGCCTTTTCAAGCATAAGTTAGAAAAGAAGTGTCTCGCCCTGGCTCGTGTGGCTCAGTGGATTGAGGGCCGGCATGTGAACTGAAAGGTCGCTGGTGTGATTCCCAATCGGGACACACACCTGGGTTGAAGGCCAGGTCCCCAGTAGGGGGCGTGCAAGAGGCAGCAGTCAATGTTTCTCTCACACACCAATGTTTCTCACCCTCTTCCTTCCCCCCTCTCTAAAAATGAATAAAATCTTTTCTTAAGTATCTCAACAAAAATACTTCCCATGAAGCAGGATTGGGGAGAGGTCTGCTACCCAAGTGATATGCTCATCAACGTCCTCAGTAACATTCTTGTGTGGTTAATAGCCTCCAAATAGCAGCTATTTAAAGACACGACTACCATACCAGGGATCAGCAGACTTTTTCTGGAAGGGGCCAAAGAGTAAACTAGGCTCTGGGGACCACACAGGATCTGGTGCAAAAGCGAAAAGAAATACTATGTGAACAAATGCGTGTGGCTGTGTTTCAATAAAACTTTATTTACAAAAACAGGTGGGGGGGGGGCCAGATTTGGTGCGCAGGCTGTAAAATCTGCCATCCCCTGTACTGTAGGACTCCCAGGGACGGCTAACATGGCTGCATACAGAAACTCGCTTTAGAATTTTATTTTAATCTTAATGCCTTAGCCATCCTCCCCAGAGACTCTGGATTAACCAGCCAGGGGTGCAACCTGGGCATGGCCTTTGCAAAGTCCCCTGGGTGATTCTAATGCAGCTGTGCTTGACAGCCCTGTATTCAACCAACACTGAGTCAAGAAATCTCCTTGTGATCTGGCTGAATCCTGGCATATCCGTGTGAACGGAACCACTCGTCCAAACTTTAGGGTTCAGAGAAAGGGACCTACACCTCATAATCAAGAGGAGTGAAAAGAAAGTAAAGCACCTCATTTTACAAAATAAGGCCCCTGGAACCAGGAAGCTACTGTAATGTTTATTCTAACAGGAGACCACCAAAAGTTGGGGGGGGCGGTGCTGGGATCAGGTCCCTGGGGACACACCTTCAGTTTAGCCAAATGCAATTATCTTCCTGGAACTCACAGCCGCGCTCGCCTCTCCTCCTCCACAGGGAGAAGGGAGGGGCTGCTGTCTTACTCAGCTCACAGTAGCTTATCGAGACTCTTTCCACCCCTGCCCTTCTGTATCAGGAACATCTCCAGAATCCACACTCACTGCCAACACTGTGAACTGCTCAGCTAATAGGAAGACAGCTCGGGCTATAAATGGAAACCAGGGATTAAAGAAAATACCGGCGCTGAAGAAAGAGGCAGGATCTCACATTTCTGGAGACCGCGTCAACCAGAACGGCCCCTTGAGAGGGTAACGGGGCAGTATCTCTCCAAATGTCAACTGTCCGCGCCCTCCGACCTGGGGCTCCACGTCCGGGAATTTACCGGATGGACACATACTCCCACGTGGGCAAAAGGCTCTTTACCGCAGCTGTTCGACAGCAAAAAGTGGGCAACAACCTCCAGTCTGTGAATAAGGTGCCCAGATAAATAAGTCACAGTTCGCCTTGAGATGGATCAAACACAGCTGCTGACGGAAAACAGAGGCAGATCCCTGTACGCGGGCCCAGACAGGCAGCCCGTTCAGTGAAAGAGGCACCAGCGGCAGAACACGCCAGCACTGGTGTGGGGGAGGAAACAAGGAAGTGAAACACAGATACACATACGTGTGGGTTCTGGGGGTTTCTCAACGCACTGTGACGGCTGGGGCTCGACAGGTCTTTGTTGGGGGAGGTGGTGGTGGGGGACTGGGCCGTCCTGTGCACAGTAACCCTGGCCTCCACCCACTAGATGGCAGTAGCACCCACATCCCGGCTGTGGCAATAAAAATACTGCCCCATGTCCCCTGGGGAACCCCATCCCCCAGGCGGAGAACCACTGGCGTACATCGAGGAGAGCTCTCCACAGAGGCTAACAACAGGGGGACAGAGGTCACCTGTAAGGAGGTGGCACAGAGGCAGGTGATCAGAGGTGGCAGCCAGTGTGGGTTTTCACGAAACACCTTTCTGTACTTAGAAATTTCTTTTACCATGCGCACTCATGACTTACAAAAGCCAAATAAACTTTTTAAAAGAGAGATACAACCACTTCCTTTTTGGTTAAAAAAAAAATTTCTTTCTTCAAAAGCTGTCGGCAGACTATGATGGATGGACTCCCAGGAGCCACAGAATGGCGGGCCCTTCAGGGGAACGATATTCAGACAAGAGACCCTGGCAGATGCGCTCATATCCATCGAGCCACACAGAGATCTTCCTCACTTGATTCCGTTTCAAAAAAAAAAAATAGTCAAGTCCTAGTCAGGGTGGCTCAGTTGATTAGAGCATTATGCTGTGCACCAAAAGGTCGCAGGTTTGATCCCCAGTCAGGGCACATGCCTGGGTGTTGGTTCAGTCCACAGTGGGGACGTGCACAAGAGGGAACAACCAGTTTCTCACCCTCTCTCTCTCTCTCTATGTGTGTGTGTGTGTGTGTGTGTGTGTAAAATCAACAAATGTATCCTCGGGCAAGGATTTAAAAAGAAGTCCAGACAATCTCGGGGAGACCAGGGCCCCTACTCTGCACCGAGTCTCCGGAAGAATGCCTGACTCCCAAGGTCCCAAGGGAAACAAAGGACGCCTCCCAGCAGCCGAGAAAGCAAGCCGAGGTGCTCTGTTCTGACCACTCTCCACTGTTCTGAGAGCAGCGAGGCACACCTCTGTCGCAACCAGGATGGGGGAGCAGCTGCTGAGTGTGTTCAGCCCAAAGCAGACACCCTCTGGGAGACACGAGGAGATGAGAATTCGCACAGGGGCTGCACTGACAGGGGACCTGGGGGGACCCAGGCACTGGCCTCCACGGAGACACAGGCTCGCTCCAGCCCCACCACCGTCAGGCTTTGCCATGCCGAGCACCAGAAAACTCTCTCCAGACAACTCTCTCCAGACCTCATTTCTCCACCTGAAAAGGGCACCTGAGGACCAGAGGAAGCCGGAGGGAAGGCACTGCCTGACCCCAAGGCTCTGCATTCCGGCTCAGGCGTCCTTCCCGAAACCCTGAGCTGCAGGCCTCCAGGGCGTGGCTTCGTCTCTGTCCTGGGGGCCTTTTCAGCCCCGTCTGCGGACCACCCTCCTCACTCAAGTGCCCCAGGGCCCTCACTCTTCCTTTCCGCCTTAGACTAGGATCCGAATCTCAGCGCTACTGCCATTCGAGGGGGTGAGCAAGGGGGGCACGGTAGGGTGTGTGACGGCATTCCTGGCCTGCAAACACGCACCACTCACTGCCAGCAGCCGGCATTGCCGCCCCGCCCCGGCCCTAGCGCTGTGAGAGCCTCTGCTCTTAACCCACCCACCCCCGTGCATAAATCAGAATATACCTCCTGCCTTGACCTAGCCCCAGGGCACCCAACACTGGGAATCTAAAACTGCGCTCTCGGTCCCGATTCCTCCTGCCACAGCCCACCCGCCAACACGGTTACTTGGACAACCCAAGAACTCCTGGTGGGGGGGCTACTTAGGGCTTTCAACAGCATCCCTGGCTTCTGCCTGCTGCATGCCAGCAGCACCCCCCACCCCCAGTTGTGACAACTACGAATGTCTCCAGACACCGTGTTACTCAGGGGAAGAGAGGAACTGCCTGGGTGGACAGAGGCTTGTCTCCACCCAGCAGCCAAAAGGCCCCTCTGACGTGCTCAGTCAGTTCACAGCCCTCCACTGCGCAAACCAGGGTCCTCAGGGGCCCTGTGCTCTCTGACCTCATGGTCTCACCGCCCCGCCCCCCTCCCATGACCAGGACACACTGCCTGGGCCTCCTTGCCACTCCTGTAACAAACGCAGTTCCTTCCTTACCCTAGGGCCTGTAAAGTTCTTGTTCCTTCTAGAATGTTCCTCCTGGTTCAGGCCTGGCTCTTGTTTTCCTGTCCTGGAGCTCTCCACTCAAACAGGCCTTCCCTGCCCCTCCCACTGCCTCTCCTCCCCACCCCCAGCCTGCCCACCCCTCTCCTTATCCTAGTTTCCCACTTTATCTCATGGTATCCGCCCTCCTGTTGATCTACCTTGATTAGTCTCCAACCGGTTCTAGAACCCAAGCTCCCTAACAACAGCGCCCCCCACTGACCACATTCTGCCCTGTTTCTGAAGCAGTACATAGCACAAAATAGATGCTCAAAAAAAAAATGGGAACCGCACTGGAAGGAATCAACAAAACAATAACTTCATAAAGTTAGGGAATCAGTATTTCCAGTGCCAATTTTTGCTGACTTTGGCCTAAACTAGTGCTTACAAAAAAAAATTGAAGAGAACTGAGGGAACACTGTATCAGAATACACTGTGCAGAGAAAAGACAAATACCGATTCATAATACTTGATATATGTGAAGTGTATATATATAAAACTTCAAATACATATTTTTACAAGATGAGAACTGGGTCACTGTGGTCAAGAGCAAGTAAGGTCGTAAACACTGGCCTGCGTTACTCCACCATAAACAGCTTTGCATGTCTTCGGGCCCCAGGAAACCCCTTAACTTGTTCCTTGTATCGGTCTCTGCATGTTCACCCACTGTACCTTCTCAACAGCCTGCTCAGAGAGTTCAGAGTTCGAGAACCACACAGGAAAGAGCACATCACGACGTGTGAAACTATTCACGGCTGCCAGAGAAAGAGACCTGCAAACATTCCCACTGACCCAAGTTAAGGTTCAGGATGCTCCCCGTGGTGGATGTCTTGTCCGTTTTCGTCGTGAGTGGCGTGGACGCTTGAGGAGAGAAGGGCTTCGGGCTGCCAGATAAACTCCCCGCCTGTCCCGTCTTCGTGGAGGCCGGTGACGCTGAAAAGAGTAGGGCACTTGTTAAAAGGCAGGTTTCCAAGGAAATAGGCAAGTCAAGCTTGTGGGGGTGGGGGGAGGGAAAGCAGAGAAACGTATCTGATTTTGCCACGGGCCAGCAGAGCAGCATGGATGGGGTGGAGCGGGCAGGGCTGGCCACTGCTTTCAAAGCAAAGGGCTTCCCCCCAGTGTTAAACCGTTACAGCCACAAAGGAAAGAGGCCTCCCCGGTTATTCTATCAGACACAAAGCTCTAAGACAAATCGGCTAAGCTGCCACTGAAATTAGCTTGGCCCATTCACGGGTGTAAATCTCAAAATAAATAGCGATTAAACCAGCCCCCACCACGGCCCAGATGCAGAGGCCAGAGCCAGGCTTACAAATGGCAGCCGTCCGTTTGCGGGAGGCGCGGGGGGCGGGGGGGGCCGGCCCCCACAGCCACCGCACCTGCCAGGAGCCGACCTGACCCCTTGGGAGGGCTTGGGACTCCCATTTCAAAAGCTCTGCCTGCTGAAGGAAGTACATGCAACCCCAGATGCAACGACAAGATGTTGGTAAATTATCTCCCTTCTACTGTGCTTCAAACTCAGACAGGAGGGTGGCGGGCCAGATCCACTCCCAAGGCTCTTATAAATACCTTAAACCTGCTTCCGAGCTGCTCCCTGACCCTCATCCACGGGGTAGGGGGAGGCAGAACAGACGCCAAACCATCTAACTAAACGGGGAGGTTCGGGTGGGCCTCCTAGAGCCTGCCCCTGGAGATCCTGCCCTCGGGCGTCACTGGGATGGCCCTGTTACTCAATGTGTGACAGGTGGCGATGACACAGCCAGCTCTCCTCAGACACAAAGGAAGTACTGACTCTGAGGCGATCTGGTCCTTAAGAAAAAGCTGCTGATGGCAAAGGCGTCAGGCACCAAGACGTCATGGGGACGTCCAAAGCGCTTGCCTCGATTCCCTGGGCTGCCAAAGAGGGGTGCTCAGAGTGAGCATTCAATCGGATACACGCGTACCCCAGCGTGGCTACTCAGTATACAGGAGGTAGCCTACGCGTGTCCAGGGCCAGGACCCGCCAACGCCGTAGTTCACATAACAGAGCGGGGAAGGCTCGAGACGCAGAGAGAAGTGGACTCCAGCGCGGACTGGGGGCCCGACAGGGCGCACACCCCAGCTCCGCTGCTGACGCACTGGCTGGGCGGCCTCGGGTCAGTGACCTGCTGTCTCTGAATCTCCTCTCCCGGCAGCAGCACAGAGGAATACCGACAACACAACACAAGGGGAGGGTAAAAGTACCCACCCTCCTCCAGTTGTCACGATCAAACCAATGAATCATCTGAACAGCGCCTGGCACCTATTAAGGACGATATTACTGTTTGCTCTTGGTGTAGTATCATTTTCTATCCCCCATTAACCTGTAGGGTTCTGGCTTCAATCACCTAAACCCATGGTCCTCACTCGGGAGTGATTTCTCCCCTCCAGGGCACACGGAGCCACGGCTGCAGACAGCAGACAGCGTGCTGCCGGCACCTAGTGGGGGGAGACCGGGGGTGCCCCTAACATCCCACGGTGCGCAGGACAGCCTCCCGGAACAAGGAATCATCTTGGGCCCCCAACGTCAGTGGTGCTGAAGCAGCTGCAACCCTGGAAACGCAGGGAGGAGGCGGGACAAGATGGGGTAACCCAGGTCAACTGGTGCTTAGCAAGTGCTCAATAAACACAGGAAATTATTTCGAGAATTAAGCTTTTCTGAATACGGAGTGAAGTCAGTATTGCCGTATGGATTAACGAGTGCCTGGCTGGGTACCCGGCCTTCTGTCGCCCGGGGGCTGTTATTACTGCTAAGACCTTGGGTGACTATAACCTCTAGTACGACAGCAAGCAGAACTAAAGGGCTTGTTACCCAGAGAAACATGAGCAAATGACGTTCAAGACATTTTAAAAGACTTAAATGTTTCTAATAAAACCTTTAGTATTAAGATGTTTGGGTTGATTTTATTTTTAAATAATGCATTCATTTATGTTTTACCTGCTCCCAAGAACTCTGCAGGGACTGAAGATGTGGGTACAATGGACTCCCCCAGAGGATCATAAACCAGGCTTTTCTAATTACATTCTCGCAAACAAGCTAACCAGCGTGTCCAGCAGAGGGGGTCTTGCCCAGCCCGCCAGCAGAGCACGGCTGGGGACTGCAAGGAACTGTGGGACAAGGAAACCAAATTGTTCAGGGAACAAGGACAAAAAATATGCAAAGATACCACCACCACAAGAGACCTCATCGTTCCCTGCTTAAGAGATCGAGTTTAAAAAGGAAAAGGACAGGCTGGGAGGCGACCTACAGAGCCCTGGCCGACGTGTGGTCCTGCAGGGGATGGTAGTAGCTACATCACCCGCACGGTCATCATCTTTATAATTGTGTGTGTGTGTGTGTGTGTGTGTGTGTGTGTGTGTGTGTGTGTTAAAAATAAATAACAGAAACAAGCCACAAATTCACAAACATATAAAGTTCCTTTGTTTCAAACATGGGATCAATAAAAAACAGTTTCTGCTGTTAAGAAACCGTCAGTGTTGAGGTTTAAGAAACATGCTTTAGGTGTTCAGTTTTCAAACACAGCACCTGGGTATGGCGAGAGCAGAGGTGATGGGAGAACACTGGTTTCCCACGGAGACAGGTCTGGCTCGCTCTCCACCCAAGCCAGCAAAGGGACCACCCTCACAGACACCTGGGACCATGCGTGGCCCGTGCCCACCACTGAGTGCCATATGCCCTGCCTACCCGATTTGTGACAGACCTCCTACCTGCCTCAACACCTGTCAATGGTAGGACCGCCCACCACGCCGGCCGAGGCCACTTCAGTTCTTCCTGCCTCGACTCATCCAGCTTCTCAGCGGGGCCTCTGAACACCCCTTCGAAAATATACCCCAAACAGCCCACTGACCGCCACCTCCACAGCTATCACTGTGGTCCAAGCATTCTCGAGGGGGCAATATGGGGCAAAATGTGGTTCTCAGAAACTCAACAGATCTTCATGTACAAAGCAGAGAAATATTCTGGCTTCTTTGTGGCCATCTAGAGAAATGTAAAAAAATACCAGGCTGGCCAAAATGCCTACAGCATTGGGCAATAGAAAGCTAGCAAGGGCACATTACATTAAGAATACAAATCAGTATATCCACATTTAAAACATTTGCATCCCGGCCAGCAGGGCTCAGTGGATCAGAGCGTCATCCCATAACCTAAGGGCTGCAGGTTCCACCCCCGGTTTGGGCGTGTGAGATGCCTAATCCAGGTGCAGGTGGGAGGCAACCAATCGATGTTTCTCTCTCTCACACTGATCCTTCTCTCTCTCAACGCAATGGAAGGGTAACAAGAGAAGGAAAATAAATCGCATTCATACTACTTCATAAAACCAGGTTTCTTCCCCAAGTAATGTCTCCCAAAATTCAGTCATGATCCCAACATTTGACATATTCACGTACAATCTATGTGCTGCTGACGACTAGAATTCTACGCACAAGGCACCACAAGAAGTCACAGAAACACGGCTAAACTGAAAGCAGCAAAAAGCTGAGCATGCTCCCCTTCCATCACAAAAAGAAAGTATTACCATTGTGATTACATATTCAAAAATCTGAAGGGACAGCCGATTTTTAACAGTTGTCATCTCTTGGGGTAAACATGATCTGCTATTAACTCTATAATATTAAAATTTAAAAGGAATATTTTATGCTCAAAAAAAAAGAGAGACAAAATTAAATGTAAATATTGAACAGCTACAAAGATAAACATGAAGCAATCAGAATTTTGTCAGGGCTGAAATTCAAAAGCATGATACACTCAATCAGTGGTTCTCCACAGGGACCGAAGGGGTGACTGCGACCTCCAGGGGCCACGTGACAATGTCTGGAGACGTGTTTGGCTGTCGTCATTGTGAACAGGTGTGCTACTAGCATCTAGTGGGCAGAGGCCAGAGATGCCACTAAGCGTCCCACGGTGCACAGGACAGCCCCACAGCAACGAGTCATCCGGCCCCGAACGGCAACAGTGCCAAGATCGAGAAACCCTGTTTCAAATCACTCTAGACATGTTCAAAAGCAAAAAAAAAAAAAAAAAAAAGACATTGGGAAATGCTTGTTTCAATTAAGCTTTGAAATGAATGCTAATCCTTTTATAAGGCCATAAATCTTGCCCAAAGGAAGAACTAATAGCCTTTGAAGTCACCAATAATTTAATAAGATTTTACACTTTGACGTGCAATTCACAAGTGTGGGCTAAAACACATCATTTATTATCTACATTTACAAAACCCTGGCCTGTGCTCAGCCCTGTTCTGACTACATGAAACATGAGTCTTAGAATTGAATTAGAAGAAAATGTCCCTTCCTTCCCGCGCACCCCAACTCTCTGGGTGGGGTGGGGTGGAGGAGGTACTGATTCATGTTAAGTTTCCTCCCCTTACAAAACCCTGCCAACGACCTGCATGTTCATGTTCAAAGTACTTACTGTCCTACACAAGTCTTGGTGGCAGAATGTCCCTGAACCGTCTGTGGTGGGACAGAAATGCTGTGTTGAAGGGTTATTTACTAACTTGAAAAAGTATGCAGAATACAAGGTTAAGGGAAAACATAAAAAAAATGCTAAACAGGCCACACCAGACATGGCAGACAGGTAATCCAGGAATGAGCAGTTCACAGGTGCATTTGATGTAGCACGTAGTTTTGTTTTGTTTTGGTTTTTAATTTGAGCCAATGAACAAACTCCTTTTTTTTAAAGATACATTTTATTGATTATGCTATTACAGTTGTCCCATTACCCCCCCTTCATTACCCTCTACTCTGTACACCCTCTCCCACCCACATTCCCCTCTTTAGTTCATGTTCATGTGTCATAAGTTCTTTAGCTTCTACATTTCCCATACTATTCTTGCCCTCCCCCGTCTATTTTCTACCTACCATCTATGCTACTTACTCTCTGTACCTTTTCCCCCTCTCTCCTCCTCCCACTCCAC